TTTCAGAGAATCACTGAGTCACAGAATGGTTTGGGATGGAAGGGACCTTAAACATCATCTAGTCCAAGGCAAGGACATCTTCCACTAGCCCAGGTTGCTCCAACCTGCCCTTGGACACTTCCAGGGATGGGGCAGCCACAGCTTTTCTGAGCAACCTGTGCCAGGGCCTCCCCACCCTCACAGGGAAGGACTTCTTCCTAATATTTTATTATCAATATCTTATCTTTCCTGCCCTTCTGAGCTGAGGCTCTGCACCAGCCTGATCCGGAGCAAACCACAGTGTGCCAGAATTCAGGGAGCTGCCAGAATCCATTTCAGCCTGGCAGCCCGGAGCTAACTGAAATTCAGGGCTATCCCAGTGCTTCCAGGGATGCCAGCTCAAGAGTCAGGATACTGGGCTCCCATGTCCCCATTTGCTAGAGCCTTCCCACAGGCCAGCCCTCTGCTTCAGCTTCTGTGTGCTGAGATAAAAGCCACAGTGATTTCCTCCACCAGCTCCCTAGCCAGGAGGGAACTGAGATACTAAAGTGGTGAAGAGGTTGAGGAGCACCGTGGCAGTGGTGACCACCTCACACAGAGAGCTGACACCATCTGCCATTGCTGGGTCTCAGGACCCGCTGGGAATCTGGCTGTTATTTGGCAAAGATGATCTAACTTGTATTGCCCAACAAGCAGAGGGTGATCGAAATCTTTATAGAAAACATCTCACAAACTGTAAACAACACATTTTCTACACAGAGATAAAGATGGAGATTAATGCTTGAATTATCCTGGGTAATTAGTGTAGCAGGTAATCACTTAAAATCTGGCACATCTGTGAATACCTCACTTTGACTGAATTAGAAGGTGTTTGCAACTGCTACAGTAAGGTGGCTTCAGTGATCCCACAGGAAATCTTTGTGGGAGATTAATCCTCACTTCAAAAGGCAGAGATTTGCAAGAGGATTATGTGTCCAGGATGACACATTCACATTGTTGTAGGAAGCAAGGCCTTTTTTTTCTCACAGCGAAGCCAAGTGCTGCTTTCTTTGAATTCATGTATTCTTTGAGCTTGAGGGCTCGGCCCTCTTCAGTAGAGTGTTTGATAGCTGAAATGCTGAACTGTGCTTGAAAGAAAGTGATGACAAAGAACAAGGGCAAAAGAGAGGACAGTGAAATCCAAACTTGGTGTTAAAAATCCTAGAGCAACAAGGTCACACTTGCAAAGCTACTGGATGCATTTCTTTAGCTTATTGTAAATGTTACAGAAAAGATGTCCTCTAAGAACACTTTGAGACAGGTCTGTGAGGATCCTGTCCTTGCTGTTCAGATTCAGGCAGCTCCCAAAAATGTGCATCTTGCTTATGGTCCTGCAGTCACTGAGGAGACACCTCAAACCTGGAGCACATCTGGTGGAGCCACATTGACAGCCAGTGCAGTGATTGTTGTACTGGCTCAGGCTCATGAGTGCTTCAGGTTTGAATTAGGTATGGGATGGATGCTGAATCGTGGTTCTCTTGCTACTCAGCACAGAGAGGAGAGTTAGGGGAACTGTAGTTTTGTGTGCAGATTTTACTACTTACTGCACTAAAGAGAGCTCTAACCAAGAAAATGGTGGTTTCCAAGCACACAAAGACATTCTCAGTACAACTGAAGTGTTTCTTTGCTATACATTTCCAACACAAAACTGCTGCCAGGAGCTCTCATCTGATTTGCTCAAGTTCACAAAACATCAAGGTGAATAATTGAGACAGGCTGAGTTTGTAAACCCTGGGGAATTCACATCAACAGAACCAAGAAGGAAAGAAGAGATACTTAGAGCTTCATGCAGAGGGTCTGGTCTGTCTTTTAAGAGAGGTTATAGTGCACTTGTTTACTGAGATAGCACAAGAAGAAATACAGGTGGGGTTGAAGCCAGCATCCATCAACCTCATTATGGACAGATCAACAGGGGCTTGTTCAGACCAACCACAAAATGTCCCCAAGGAGAAACTCTGCTAAGTTTCAAAACACTCAGCCCCTAGTAAAGCCCATGTAGTCATATAATCACAAAATGCTTGGGGTTGGAAGGGATCTTAGAGGTCTTCTTGTTCTAACCTGCCATGGCAGGGACATTTTCCACTAGGTCAGGTTGCTCCAAGCCCTGTCCAACCTGGCCTTGGACACCTCCAGGGGTGAAGTGTCCCCTGAAGTTATTTTAAAATGAAAGAATAAAATGAAAACACCCTATGCAGAAATGCTTTTTAGCCCTCTTTTTCCTTCCTTTCCCAGAAACAAGTTTGCAATCCCCAAGCTTGGGGTTTGCCTTACTCTTCAAACAGTATCCACTACCAAATTACATCTTCACAGGACATTCCCTTTTATAATATGCTGGAGGAAATTGCTGCCCCACCAACCCCACCACTGACACTGGACCTTTGATGGACCTTTGTAGAAGGGAAGAGTGGATTTATGACCTTCTCCAAACTACCTTCTCCCTTCTGAATCCTCAACAGGACATTCACACCTACTTCTGTATTGCCAAAGAAGTCAAAATATATGTTTCTATCCATCATAACAGTCTTTGCACTCTCCTTGCCCTGAACTCCCTAGCTGTCAGTGCTGCCAGGTGTTTGTAGGTCCTGCTCACTCACTTCAGGGCTGGGTAACTCAACACTGATCCCATGCACTTGTTCCCCCTACAAAATGTTTTTAGATGCTTGAACCAGCAACACACCTCTGGTTGGCAGTGTTTCAACACACAGTCACCACTGGGTTTTTCCTGGTAGTGAGCAGGGGAGGTTTAGGTTTGATATCAGGAAAAATTTCTTCACCAGAATAGTTGCCCAGCCCTGGCAGGAGGTGCTGTCCAGGGCAGTGGTGGAGTCCCCATCCCTGGGGGTATTTAAAAGATGTGTGAATGTGTCACTTGAAGACATGAGTTAGTGGTGGGCTTGGCAGCACTGGGGGCATGGTTGGACTTGATGATGCCAGAGGGCTTTTCCATCCTAATGATTCTGTGACCCTGTATCCAAGTGGAGCACAGGAAGCTGCAGCTCAGGCCCCTTCTCTAAGAGAGATTTGATCTCCCACCTCCCAGGTGGGAGAGCTCACCTGGCCTGTGATGCTGGTTGTTCCTGTTCTGAAGACTATTTCAGCTCAAGTTGCCCAGCCCAGGAAATGTTCAGGCAGAAAGATGGCCTTTAGGTCTGAGCAGGGAGCAGCCAGCCCTGCTTCTGGAAGAGCCTTTAACTCTGAGCAGTTATTAAGCAGAGATGTCCTGTGGGCTGGTTGTCCCTAACCCAAAATCTGGGAAGGAGGAACAGCAGCTGCATGGCAGCAGCATGTCCTGCTCTCCCTGAGCTCTGCAGACCTGGTTGCAGCCTGCAGGTAGAGACAAATAAAGAAAACATGAGCAGGAGTTGTTCTTTTTTTTTTTTTTTTTATGGTGGCAATTATTTCTACTGCTACAAATTGCATTTTTTACTACCCAGAACTTCATTTCCACCAGCATCAACTTCTAACACTTCCCAGTGATGCTGCAGTTTCTCTGTTTATGGGTCTGACTGTGGAAGAGGAAAAAGGGGCATCTCAGGCTGCATCTCTGAGGCTACGTGTGGCCTGCAAACAGCCCTTTTGGTGAGCTGGCATGGCACAGTGGTGTTCTGGGCTGATTCACACTGTCTGCAGAGACAATACACTCCTGGGCCACTGAGACAGTCCTTTTAAATCGAGAGCTGTGCATAATTTGAATGCACTACTAAAATGGAGTTCAGCTGCACCTCACTGTCAAAATGTGAGCATATTTTACCCGTGTCAGAGCACTGGAGTGTAGCCAGAAAGCCAGTGTAGTAATTTTTTGGGCATGATGTTCAGCCATATTTTATTAAACTCCCTGTTCTACACTTCACTGCTTGGCTCTGTGAGCTGCAGCTGAGCATCCCTCACTCAATAAGCTGCTTGTTCCGTCCTTGTTGAAATCTCCTTGTAAAATTAAAGACCCACATTGTCCTTTTCTCCCACCTTGAGCTGTTACTTAGCCTGAATCATCATGGCTTTGGTTTAATCTCATGTCAGATACTGTTCATGTAAATGCCGAACTGCTAAAATGTCACAACCATCAGCATGAGATCTGCTTTGAATTGCTGCAGCATCTCTCTGAGGCCCAGCTGTAGGCAGCTGCCTCTGCCCTGATGTTCAGGGAATATCCAGTTTGTTCCTGGGCAGAAGAGCCCGTTGGCTCCATGGACTGGATTGCAGACAGGTGATTTGGGGAGCCCAGTTTTGAAGTCTGTAAGATCAGTGTCTTCTGTATTCCTTTCCTGGGGACTGTATAGACCCTCTGCCTCTCCATGCAGCTGTAAAATGATGCTATGAACTTCCCACCTTCACTTGATTGGGATGAAAAGCACTAGAGCAAGCAAGCTATCACAGTGATAATATAATGTAAAAAACCCACCAACCTAAGAGTAAAATGTCTCCCAGCTTCTGGAAGGATAATGCAGAGGCAAGATGTAAAATATGGCACACACATAAAATGTGTCACTTCCTTATAAGAGCAGAATTAATGGATGCTACAAAAAACAAATAGAAAAACATTATGAAATATCTTTTTCCATGAAAGAATATGAGAATCCATTGGATTTAGACATGAGAAACAATGGTTTTTGATAATGAAAGTGCTAGCAAAAAGTAAACTAAGAAATGTGTTTTTGTGCTTCTTGGGGAACTTTCGTATTGGTGAACTTGTATTGTGTGAATAAGCACAACCTCTTAAGGACAAAGATGGGCTTTAGCACTTGAAATTCTCTTTGCTGGATGTTGCTGTCCTCTCATTTCTCAGTGGTTGGTGTTTTTACACTCCAGCTACATTTCACACCAGTTCTTTAAGCACACCCCCAGCAAGGGAGGTGGAAGAAGCAAAACTGCTTTGCCTGCAGCTGGAGAAATCCTTTATTCCTCACAGCACCTCCTCGGCTGTGGGCATTCACTGCAGGAAAACCTGCCTGAAGCTGTTGATGATCTCTGTCCTTCCCTCACAGGACCATGCAGACATTGAATGGAAGTTCGCACGGACGAAGCTCTGGATGAGTTACTTCGATGAAGGTGCCACTCTGCCCCCTCCCTTTAACATTGTCCCCAGTCCCAAGTCCGTCTGGTACCTTTGCAAGTGGATCCACAACCAGCTGTGCCCGGGTGATGACTCTGACAATGAACAGAAGAGGCATGAAAACCTCAAAACATTCACAGTAAGGAGCTCATGGGTTTGTACTTCATTTTTTGAGGGCGTTGTGCATGTTCAGGATCATGAGGGCCCCTGCTCTGCTGGGGCAGCAGACAGCTGCTGGATCATGACTTGCTAAGAGCCACTAGGAGCTCTAAAGACTGGAGCAGACAGGTAACACACCCGTGTCTCTCTCCTTCCAGGAACGACACGCTGACAACCTGATTCAGAATCAACATTACCAGGTAAACTCCTGAGCATGTACAGTTCTTGCTCGCTGTTTCTTTCTTCCTGCTCATTTTCTAATTCTTCAATTCTTGCTTGCTTCTAGAATATATATCCTCTGAGAGGATTTTGCTTATCACAGATTAAAACATTTCCTCACTGGAGGTAGATGGTTCAGTAAATCTCTCCTTGCCTTTCAGCCCCCTTGAGCAGTGGAAAACTTGCCAGGTATCACTCTGGCTGCTGAAGCAAAGGTGACATCCCTGTTGCCCTCTCAATTAAAACTGTTTCTGTGCATTTTTGTACTCTCGAATTGCTCCTCCTGCTCTTTTTTGTAAAGCATCCCTAACTCAAACAGTGGTCGGGATTTTGTTTTGGATGGCTCAGAAAGAAGGAATGGTTCCTTTGTTGAATCTTGCTGGTTTTGTTTATTCTCAGCCTGCCTGTCATCAAGGACTCATTAAAGCCAACCTACAAATGGATGAAACTTTATTAAAAACACCAGCTTCAGACCTTGAATTCAGTGGGATGTATTATGCCAGCATGCTGGAAGGGAAAAAAATTCTGCAGAATGTTAGGTGGTACATTGGGCTCTACTGCCAAAAGACATTGGTAATTTGTCTTACTTAAGACATCTCCTACCTTTGGAAGAGTACTTTTATCTGAAGTTGATTGTTAACAAAATTAGTCACCTTTGACAACAGATGCTTTCTGACTTCAGAGCACAGCTTATGGGTAGCAACAGTGGGATTTCTTAAAAACCTCCCAGCAAAACCATCTTCATGCCTGGTGTCGCTCAGACTGGTTATCCCTGTTTATGAAGTGGGGGAAGTGAAGGGCAAGTTTGTCCGTGGAACACACACACAGAGCCTTGGTGTATGTTGGCTGGCACAGGTAAATGTTCCAGCTCAGTAAAGCCATCAGGGAGGTACATGAACAGAGCAAAATGGAGCTCATCCAACCAAAAACATGGAGTGTAGCCAACATCCCAGGTAACACAGGGGAGTGAGAGCCCGTGGAGAAGTCACCGAGGGTGTGATTCAGTCCTTCCAGTGCCGCCCACTGACACTGCAGCCACCCTGCAGGGAGTTTCTGACCTGCCTTTAGGGCAAACAGAGGCAGCTGGCAGATGTGCTTTGAGGTGAATGCCCATTGCACCATGGGGTCCTGGCTGCTTTTCACATCATTTGCTGCCAACATGCCCTCCTTGGCTTTCAAATACTTTATAAACATCTTCAAATGCCAAATTTAGCCTGTCAGGATACACAAAATACACACACGAGATTGGTGATTCTAAAAACTTTCAGCGGCTGAGATCAAATGGCTTGAGCACATCGAAGAACAAGAATTTTTTCTCAACAATTTTTACATATACAAACCCCAGAAAAAAAAACACCTGCTTAACCTGTAGCCAACAACTGAGCATCCAAGATGGAAGGTATATCAACCTTTCCCAAGGTTTGCTCTGTTTTAAAGGAAGCATTCTGTTTCTAATGGTGAGTGATTTTGGTTTTAGCCAGCAGAGCCAGGACAGCTGCTGTTTGTAAGAGCTCAGGGAAATACAATAAGAACAGTTTGGGCTGAGCCAGCAGTTGAATCACTTGGATTGTTTCCTATTCCAGGAAGTGATAAGAAATCTTGTGAAAAGATATGTTGCAGCAATGATAAGGACTTCCAAAACCAACGAAGGCTTAACTGAAGAAAATTTCAAGGTAATTTATTATTCCTCAATAATAATTTATTATATTAATTCAAATAGCCACTTGCAGAGTTCGCACTAAATTGTTAAGATGATTTGTAATGTGTGGAAATAGGACTATGACTGGAGCTGGGAATATATCTAATAGGCATGTGGGGGATTTTGAGCAGAGAATATTACTGAGTGTCTTCTCATATGATCACCTCCCAGATTTTAATATACAATATGTTATATCAACAAAAGTGTTAGAAAAGGGTAGGAATGAAGTATGTGATTTGTGTCAACACATGTTCCTAATCCTAATGCAGACAGAGCCAAAGAATGAGTTGGGCTTAATGAAAATCAACACTATAACAAAATTCAAGTTGGGCCTATCAGCTAAACAGGATTCCTGCCATATCTCTGCATTTCAGCAGCCCTCCCTCTTCTATAACTGTCTTATTTGACATTTTGGGGGATCAGGGTGGGCAGAGGAGGTTGATCAATGAGACCAAGTGCCCCCAGCCTTTGGTGACAAAGACCTTGTGAGGTCTCCAGTTCCTTGGCTTACCAAGACATTACTGTTTGTGTATGTGGTGTTCTTGTAAGTGTGATTTGATATCAGCCACTGACACAACTGACCAGCTCTCCCGAGGGAACGTGACCGTTCATGTCAGATAAAGCTGCTGAGAGTAACTTGTTTCTCCTCATGCCCTAGGAATTAAAACAGGACATCTCAAGTTTTCGCTATGAGGTTCTTGACCTCTTAGGAAACAGAAAGCCCCAGAGGAGGAGTTATTCAACCAGCAGCACAGAGGTGTCCCAGAAGGATGAAACAAATGAGGACGGTGCTGGAGAAAAATCCAGAGCCAAGAGCGTGTCTTTCAATGTAGCCAACAAAAAAAAGGACTTCAATGTATCTGCTCTGATTAAAACCATGTCTGGGATCGATATGGTGGAAGAGAAGCCAAAAAGCAACGGGATCAGTAAGCGCTCCTTTGTCCGAAACGGAAACAGAGTTCAGAGACTCTCCAGCTCCAAGAAGGAATCCTTCAAGAGACTGGGCCTGCTTTTCTCCAAGATGAATGGACACGTACCTGAACCCAGTTCAGAACCCATGTACACTATTTCAGATGGAATTATTCAGCCACACTACATGTGGAAAGACATTAAATATTCTCAGATTGATAGAGAGAGAGAAGAGAATTGTTCCAGAAGTGAAATTAACCTCAATGAGGTGGCCTACAGTGGGAACACGAGACTTACAGGACAGAGCAAGGAATGTCCTGTGGTTTGTGCCAGTTCCCTTCACTGTGCTTCCAGTATTTGTTCCTCTAATTCCAAACTTATAGACTCGTCAGAGGACGTGTTTGATTCCTGGGGAGAGGCCTGTGACTTGTTCATTAACCAGTGGAAGGATGGACAGGAGGATCACGTTACCACTCGGCTCTAAGTAAAACTATCTTAACACTCACTGGAAAACCTACCCAAGAATTGGTAATTGTTTGCTCTCATCTGATTCAGCATTACTGTTCCCTTTCTGTCCACAGGTGAAAAAAAAGTGTAAACACACTTATGTTAGCCTATTTTATAACCATCTGCACATTTTTTAATTTATTTTTTTACACTCACTAATACTAAACTAAAGGTTTCACCATTTATAAGGTCACTATAAACCACAGGAATCCCTTCAGATGTAGTCTTAGTCTTCAAACCCCACAGACTTCAGATGCACTGGTGGCTGAGGAAAGGATTTCTCCAGTGGTCCCACCATCATTCCACCACAGGTGGGTTTCCCTGCTGTCCAACACCGTTGGCTCTGCGTCCTGCTCAGTTTTCCTCATCAACATGACCAGCTGGTGAGCAGGAGGATGAGAACCACATTTAAAATCTTTTTTAAAAGGGTTTCAACTTCTAGCTGGTTCTTTGTTTCCTTTAAGCAATATGACTTCTGGTTCTTTTGGCTGTGCGTGTTTTTTCAGGTCATTACATTAATATTCTAAATTGTTATTGAATATGAGACCCCTTTGATCATCCAGCTGGAACATGTTATTATTTGCTTATTTGCCTAATTTGCCTTTTAGGGAGCAGAAAGACCTTCCAGTTAGGCTGACAGTGGGAACCAGCACCTGGCTTTGCTACCAACTTCTGTGTAGATGAACTGACCCCAAACCAGCCGTAGCTGCTTGAAATACAAACCTGTGTGTAGTTTGGCTGAACCAAAACCCAGCTCTAAGCCTTGCCCTTGTTTTGCAGTTCCTAATCTTATCTCCACCACTGCATTCACTTTTTGCTGTATCTCTGATGGATGTCAGGCTTCAGGGAGAAAACCATCCTCCCTGTGTATGGCAAGTGCTAAGAGGGATCATCTTCCCTGGGCCCCTGAGCTGCATTTCTGAAAAGCAGCCTGAGTAGTAGAGGCTCAAACTGCATCAGCAGCACGGAGTGGCTCTGCAGCTCCTCTTCTGAGTGCAGCAAAAAGGAGTGTGGCAGTAGGTAGTATCTTTTATCTCCCCAGTTGTGGCAGTGGGAGTGTCTGTGGCTTACCACTGTCACTACCTTAGTTCCAAGGAGCATCAGAGCGGGGAGAAGACAACCTCATCAAGGGCAAAATGGTTGAATTCTTAACAGTGATTTTTAGTGGGGTTTTTTTTATTTTATTTTATTTTTAACAATGTGATACTTGAACTTTCTTCTGCAGTGTTGCTAAGAAACACTTACCACCACTTCAGAGCTGTTATTAGTCAGCTGCTTTCCTGGAGGAACCAAGTCCTGAGGAGGAGCTCAGCAATGGTTTTGTTCCTGCCCTCGTGCAGGGCTGTGTTCCCAGGAGAGGTTTTGTGAGCTGCAGCATTTCCCAAGGGCGGCTGCCAAAAATCACCTCATCTGTGAACTGAGCTGTGAGTTGCTTTTGGAAAAGCATAATGCTGGAAAATCTACTCCTGCCATTGCAGTGGGTCAGATTTTACCAGCAAGGGGCACGAGCAGCTCTTGTGGCAGCACGGAGGGTCGGGAGGAGAGGGGTAAGGGTTGCTGGGACACCTGCAGCTGGATACTCTGCCCAGGTTTGAACCTGGCTCCCTTCTTTTGTGAAGGAAAACCACCTTGTTGGGTTTTTCCTTTGGGTACCTGTGCAGCTTCATGTAACGGGCCCAACAGAGCACAGAAATCAAGCAGGAATGTGAATGATGCAGCCAGTTCCTGAAGCAGAGCTGCAGGTGCCAACACACTGGACTCATGGAAGTTTCCAATACAGACCTCAAAATACAATACAGCCCTGGTGTCGAGAAAAATCAGCAACTAGGAGCAGAGACTCAAAAATGTTTCTGTATTCCTAGAGTAAAATGACCCCAGTCTTGTTAACAGCAGGCAGTGTAAAACCCAAAATATTTAAGCCTCTAGATGTGTTAGCTAAAGGCAGAGTGAAAGGTATTTTGTATCAACAGATTTCAGGCTTTCATGCTAATTGCAGGGTTAGAGTTGTCTTTGAAAACTGCATCTCCTCTTCCTTCATGGAAGGCTGAGCAAAGTGACATTTGTGCTACACAAGGAGACTTGCAAAATTCAAGGGTCAGGAACAGCTTGGTGATCATTCTGTGAGGAAATCCAGCACTCCCCTCTCTTAGAAGCAAATCCATCAATGCAGGAAAGCTGCAGTGAGAACCCACCAAAACTAATAGAGCAGCTCACACTGAAAGCCCCACAGCTCAATAAACCAAACCGAGCACATTTCTGTAAAGATGAACATTGGCAGGAGCTGCTGCAGGGGCATGAAGGAAAGGGTTTGAATCCTTTGGTGCCTCACCTAACCACCCTGCAGATCTGTGAAGTCTACTTGACATGGGGCCAGCAAAAATTTTTGGTATTTCCTGTGTAAGGAGTAAGAACGAAAACAATTCAAGTACAGTTATGCAGATTACACCAAATGGGCTTGAGGCTGTGCCAGAAACAGAGTTTGTGTCCTTGGACAGTGGAAAGTCTTAAGAACAAGCACACTGCTACTGGTGATGACGATATTGTGTCATTTAAACACAGCACTGCATTAACAGGTACAGACAACAAAACAAAACGTAATTAACTCTGCAGTGCTGCCCCCAAAAATGTAAAAATCCCTTCCATGTGTGAGTCACGTTCTCCTGCTGTGGCCTGAAAGGGCAGGTGTCAGGAGGGATAAAACTGTCTGCAAAACCCCTTGTAATGCTGTGCTAAAGGGGGAAGGTACATCACATGGCTGCTCAGCTGGGGCTCCCCCGGGGGTTTGTTTCATGACTCAGATCCTTCCTTGCTCCCAGCTATGAGGGAGTCTGAGCTGACTTTAATTTAACAGAAATATTTGATTTGGCTGTGATTAATGCATGTGTCCAGGAGTTTGCAAACTGTCAAATTGGTCCCCCAAAAGGCAAAATTCTCTGTGATTGCATCTTTGCATCCCCAGTGGTAGCAATAGAGTTCATAGCAGCTGATGAATTATTATTCTGCTAAAACAGGAGCTTCAGGGGAAGGAAATTGAAGTATCTTCTGCAAAACACATTTGATTGAAAAAACCAACCCCCGTTTTGGTTAATTCACTTGCAGTTACAGTATTTGAGATTTCACCAGCATTCTTCCATTTTCAATTGCTCAAAAAGAAAACACGTTTTAGTGCAAGTTATTCTCAGTGAACAACCACTGTGCTGTCCCTGCAAGAAGCAGGGTGGGAGCCAATGGGACATCGAGTTTCTCCTGTGAGGAGTTAAACTTTTCCTTGGCTTGGGTTCAAGACACACAGCTGAGCTCCAACTGGTACACACTTGGCCTTTATTCTCTGGGCTTCAAGACTAATCCATAAATATATGCAAAGAATTTGGAATTAGGAATAATTCCACTTGCCCTTCCTTAGGTTTCTTGCTCTTGAAGTTGCATTTTTTCTCACCTCCCAGCCCAGTGTCATTTTCACTGGCTTTTTAAAGCAGCACACCTGCAAATGGTCATGGAATCATGGAGCTGTTTCGGTTGGAAGGGACCTTAAAGTTCTTGTTCCAACTCCCCTGCCATGGGCATGGACACCTTTCACTAGACCAGGCTGCTCTGAGCCCCATCCAACCTGGCCTTGAACATTTCCAGGGATGGGGATCATCAGCAATTAAAAAGTTAACAAATACCACCCAGGGCTAAGAATACCAAGTAGAATTGTGAGATGTTTGTACTCAGGTGAGAGATCATATAAACTGCTTCAGGAACAAGACGTTAACTGGCACATCTGTGCAGATTATTTGGGTAACTGCATTGGTACGTCCCTCACTCCCTGGTAGATATGTAAATACTCTGTACCTGTACCTGTGCCCCCGCAGAGGAAGCAGGGGCAGTGGGCAGAGCCAGAGGGAGCAGGGGGAGCTGAGCTCTGCTCCCCGCTCTGCCACCGACTCACCCGTGACCTCGGGCAAGTCACTCGGCCTCTCGACCGCCTCAGTTTCCCCATCTGTAAAATAGGGATAATAACTCTTACCTACCTCGCAGGGGGGTTAGTTCATTATTTATAAGCACTTTCAGATCTTCAGATTAAAGGCGCTATATACAGCAAGTAGTTCATATTCGTAGTGGAAGTATGTACTTTTATTTTCTTACAACTAATTCAGGTTAGGATTTAACTGTCTGTCTGTTAGGATAGTTTTCCATGTAGGGAACTAGCATGGTTTCCCATGAAGGGAATTTAGGGGACTTCTGCAGTAGACAGAGAGCAGGAACAGCATACCCTGGAAGCCTAAATTCTGACACTCTTGCTTTTGTTATTTATGTCTCACCCTTAATGTCACCTTCCTGTGTTTGTGTTTCATCCTTTCTCCAACAGTCCATGTAAAATGATTTTTAGCAGAAACAGCCACTGTAAATATTAAAAATATTTAAATAAATATAATAGTGTACAAATATAAACATAAACCCTTACCTTCTAAGGAGGTTAAAACTGGTTGGTGCAACAGACTTCTAAGCACGGGGAGGTTCCACAGGCCCAGCACTGATGCACGTGCACACCAGGATACTGGAACAGGGCTATAGGAAAATTTCACCACATCACCATCTCCATAGTAGTCACTTTTCAACCTATCACTGGCAAGGGCAGCAAGTCACATGGGTGTGACTGGTGTCACTGGAGCAGGATGGCTCTGCTGCCTGTTCTGCCCCAAGAGAGGGTAAAGGCAGCTCCTGGACCCCGACCTCAGGTAGCAGAGTGTGGCCAACACAGTGCTGCTGGAGGAACCACCCTGGACAGCAGGAGAATGTCTCCTGCGTCCCTACAAAGGGCCTTTCCCCCCAGATTTCTCTGTACAGTTTATTTTCTTCAGTGCATACTCAGGATAAAGGTGTGAGGTTTGAGCAGCAGGAGCTCCAAGATTTGACTGGCAGAGTAAGGGCACTATGAGCATTCTAAGCTCCATGCCAGGAATATGAGGAGTTGCAGGTAATGTGCACTGGCTATCTGGACATTACTAATGGTGTAAGATATCTTACAAAGCAAAGATATCTGGACAGTTACTAATGGCATAAGCAAGGATCTGACTGCTGGGTTTTCAGGCACCTGCTGCTCTTACACCACTGATTGTATGTTCTGCTTCCCTGGGGACTTCTCACCTTTGCTTTGGTATTGCTACTTTTCTTTCCAAAAGGCCGAAATCCCAAAGAATAGCATATTTCAGTTAATCAGTTAGAGGTTCAGTTTTGGTTTAACTCCTGGTTGAGTTCTCCTTCAACAAGTTAACTCGTCCTGTCCCTCAGACACGTCTGTGAGAAAGCTCTGCACAGGCTCAAAGGCTGATCTCCAAAGAAACGGGAACATCCTCCCACCTCTGTTGCAATTCCACACACTGAATGGCTAAAAATAAGCAAAAATATCTGACCCACCAGGGATGCCTAGAATTAATGAAAGATGTTACTTAACTAAAAACTCCCTGGAGTTGGTTTTGGGGTGGATGGACTGCAAGGACCTCTCCTTCCCAAGAGGGACTCTCTGGGCCCTCCAGCACTGTACCCCCAGCTGAGGCAGGTGAGATGGCTGGTCACACCTTCCCAGGTGTGCTGGAAGCATCAGACACTCTAATTCATGTAATGGTAAAATTAATTGGAATCAGTGAGACTACAGTGGATAATAAATCCACTCACTGGAGAAGCATCTAAAATAAACTGTTCCCAGTTTGCAGTGAATGTGTAACTTGAAAGAGCTATAAAGTCCCTCCCTTACTGGATTTTTCTGGAGGAGGTGGGGACCACGCTGGGCTAGCCACATCAGCATATTTCCTAAATATCTGTAATTTGATTAAATTTCATTTTCACACTCTTTCCCCATTTCAGGCCATTTTTACAAACAAGTAATTTCTGTACTATTCACGTAACTGCCTCCACCCAGACCAACTACTTTTTGTTCAATCCCTATCTTCCAAGTGTTTGATAGTATTTTGTGCTTCATGGAAATACTTTTACCTGCTCTTTTTTTTTGGTTTTTTTTAAGGTGTGCAAAGCAAACCCAACCCCCAGCCATAACAGCAATAGAACCTCCTAACAGAGCTCAAACCACTTGCAATTTTAACAGCCAGACTGATCCCGCAGTTCCTTCCTCACAAACAGAATCACAGAATGGTTTGGGTTGGAAGGGACCTCTGGAGATCATCCAGTCCAACCCTCCTGCCAAGGCAGGGCCACCTGACAGACCCTTCTCAATCAATACCCACCAACTACAGGCTCCAGTGCAGCCCGTTCCCCCTGCCTACCATGTCCTCTGCCAGCATGGCTTATTTTAGTTATTTGGGGGATTTTTTAATTTTCCTCTGCCATTTAAAGCATTTCCATCTCAGCAGTAACTCCTAAGCCAGAAGAGATGCTGTGCTTAGGGCTAAGATGTGACCTGTCAAGGAGCTGGCCTTTCAGCACGTTAGCTAACAGAACACTGTGATACCTTCAGCCAACAGAGCGAGATGCCTTTTGACTATAAATAGTTGTTTTGCAGCAAGGGGGCACTTTTTGGTCTAGCTAATTTTTTGGGTATTGTACAGTTATTTAAAAAAACTACTGAATGTGTTAATGAGGTGGGTCTGGGAACTAGAGGGCTAAGGATCTTTGAGGAGCAAAAGACAGTAGCAGATGCTTAAGTACTCTATTTTCTATCTGGTGAGCCCCAGAGACTGGGCTGACTCTAAAAACGGTTTTTTAAGAAATCAAATTTTAATATCAAATATTCATTTCAAAAAAAGCTACCACAGAAACGGCTTCACAGCGGAGCATATTTTAAAATGCCATTTCACTTCACTGGATAAAAAAGGTGAGGCTTTTTTTTCCCTCCTCTCCTTCTTCTTTAGTTTTGGTCAAAAACTAAAGTTTTTTCCAGGCAAAAGAGCTATTAGATGTAAGAATCTGTGTATGCAAAGACAGAGTGGCAACCTCAGCATTTGCCAGTGAAGTGGTAATAGCCACCTCTGGAGAAAAGGGGGAGAAAAGGGCAAGAGCAAAAAGCAAAAACAAATGCTTAGTTTTATGTACTTTTCTACTTGCATCTCTTCCATCTGTAGTGCAGAATCCATGTCATACCCTCGTATAACCTGTACAAAATGAAACAATGTACATAATAGATAAAATTATTTATTTTATGTGTATTTTTAGCTTAACTGTAAACTGGAAAAAAAAAAGGCATTTAATTTTTTCCCAAAAATGTAAGCCTATTGAAAATCAAGGTGTTTCTACCTTTTCAAGATGTAACATTTCCAGCTGCCTATTGATAATAAACATTTATGAACAGCAACAGATCTGACATTTTATAGTTTTTTAAAAACGTGTGCAGCGCAGACTTCTCAAGGGCTCTCAGTGGTCAGAGGAGCACTTAAGGGCTCTCTATAAAGACTTTATTGGTATTTTCATTTAAAAAGGCATGACACAGTCCTGCTTACCTCCTGTGAAGCTGGTCACCCAAATTTGAGCAAGTGCTCATGGGCAAGAACTAGACAACACCTAGCTGGGGAAAAAAACCCCAAACAAGCCCAAAATATTAATTATATCCTGGCTACAACAGAAAAGAGCAAACCACTACAAGTGTTGGTAAATAAAGTGCATTGCCTGAATGCAATTACTCCTGTACAAAGAAGTCTAAGTAAGTGTAATTTCATTTTAATTTCCTCCCCGAAGATATCCTTAGACCAGCACAACTACATGGGCCACACTGGAATATACAGCAATGTAGCTAATAGCATAAGGGAGTCATTAAGCAACAACTTCTAACTGTATTAACATAATTTGCTTATGGAAAGCTGTCCTCCAAGCAAATCTCATTGAAGCACTGGAGATACATTTCAAAAGGTTTCCATCAGCCACCAGAGTCTTTTGGTCAAGCCTCCAGTGAAACAAGAGTTTCCTCAAGTTAAACAATGGCAATATCCCTTTCCTTGGAATGCAGAAGATTCCTGCACAAGGGAGACAATGCTAACACACAGAGAAATGTTAACACACTGTCCATGGCAAAAGCTGCAGCAGAACCCAGCACCACAGTGATCTGTGGCTACAGAATTATAAACACCCACACAAAGACTAAAGGCTGTTACCCTTTTTTTTTTTTAACAGACAGGGACTTTCTGAAGTTAGGTGGGCACGTTCCCACTCGCATCAGAAAGCCCAGAAGTTCAAAGTTAAGGCACTGTGAATTCACAGTTGTGCTTCCTACAGCAGAAGCAGGGACTGAACTTCACATGACAGTGACTTCCCCCTGCTCTGTGTCCCTGCAGAGCAGACGGATGTGCTGCAGCAGAAACACCAGAGCTGACCCGGGAGGTGGGAGACAGGGGGACTGAGCACTGGAACAGATTGCCCAGAGAGGTCGTGGAGTCTCTCTCACTGGAGATATTCCAGAACCCTCTGGATGCAATCCTGTGGGGTGACCCTGCCTGAGCAGGGAGGTGGGACCAGACAACCCACTGTGGCCCCTTCCATCCTGACCCGTTCTATGAAGAAGCTTTGCAGTGTATTTCATCTCCTCTTACTTGCACTTCCTGAAAAGTTATACAAATCCCACATTCACATAACGATCACAAACATCAAAATAAACATTCTTTTTGCTTTCAGCTACGACAAATATTAACAAAGTACTGGTTTTAAAAGAGTCAAACCCCACAGGTTTACGTTTGATTGGAAAATGCAAATAGGGAGGGTAGGGAACAGGAAAAATACATGGAGGAGGGGGTAGAGGGAGTTAGATGGTCCATTAATTTCATCATTAGAGGATATTCCACCTTCTCTTAAAAGACCCTTTTTTCTCTAGCACAACCAAGTCAAGCAGCTATCACAGCCACACTTATCTGGGGTAAACCCCAGCACTGCAAAGCTAGTGGCAAAATGTTCACCTGCTCCAGGGAGGGCAAGATTTACCATCTGTAATAGAAGTATTGCCATAAACTGAGCCTAACACATAAAACCACCCTGTCACACCTCAGCCATCTGTTCCTTGTGCAGCAGATCACCCCACTTGCAGAGAGGAGCAGGCTGCAGTCAGTGCCTGGTAGGTGCTCTGAGCCTGTGGCTCGTACTGGCTGAGCCATTCCCTGTGTGCTGCAACTCACACTCAGCTGCCTGGGAAATCTGGTGAGCAGCACTGACTTGATCTTGAGTAGCAGCTCCTAGATACAGGCCTGCCCTCCAAAAATTAATCTCTGATCTTACTTCAAAGCTATAAAGTCCTGGTTCAACAGTTTTATTTTCCTCATGAAAAAAAGCAGTTACTCAGAAGTCTGGCTCTGGATTTGTACGTTGAATATCTTCTATACATAATGTAGCCTTTGATGGTGTAATTTTATAAAATAAAAAGGTAGCCAGCAGCACTGCAGAGAGAAATGGAAGCTGGGAGTGTAAAAAAGCCCAATTGAGCTAGAAAAACAACTTGCTGTAGAAATTGGTTTGGTTATGTGAGCAAGGGGAAAACAGCACACGAGCTCTAGCAAGCGATAACCCAGTGGGCAAATGCTGCTGGCAGGCAGAGTCAGCGTGGTCTGTCTCTACAGTATTTATAATCATTATCTTCAATAACAGATGGATTTTGCAATTCAAAAGACATCAGAAAGGCTGCCCAACAGCAGTGATGCAGTGGCTGTTAAGGCAGGACTGGTGCTGCTCTGGCTGCAGAGGGCAGGGCAGGAGCAGTGGGGCACACACAGGCAGGCAGCACTCACAGCCTGACTGCAAGGGGCACAGGTTGGGCATGGCCTTTGGTGCAAGATCAGCACCTCTGCCAAAATATCAGGCTTTTACCTAACTGTGTGGTGTTCAGACAACACTGGCACTCTGCTGTCTGGCGTCAGAGGTGAACGCAGTCCCACTGCAGTCTGCTCCTTCTGAGGGCAGCAAGACTTGCAGCACTCCAGAGATACTGAAATACTTAAAACCACAAGAAACTCACATCCCAAAGCATAAGTACTGCTTTTCTTATCCTGCAGATTCAGAAGAATCCCAGAATCACTGAAGTTGGAAAAACCTCCAGGACCAGAGTCCACCCTGTGCCCGACCCCCACCTTGTCCCCCAGCCCAGAGCACTGAGTGCCATGGCCAGGCCTTCCTTGGGCACCTCCAGGGGTGGGGACTCCAAACCTCCCTGGGCAGCCCCTGACAATGTTTAACAACCCCTTCTGTGAAGAAACTCCTCCTGATGTCCAACCTGAGCCTTCCCTGGCCCAGCTCGAGGCCATGTTCCTCATCCCATTGCTAAGGAAAAGGCTTGGACCTAAGGCTGGTTTTAACAGCCACGAAACCAGAAGTGCTCACATCTAAGGACAGCAGTCCATGGCACTGCCAGTTCATGAAGCCTTACTGCACAGCCTTCAGGTGTTCATTTAATTTGAGCCCCTGTCTTTCATCTATAAAAACCTCAGTGAAATAAAGGAGGTGGCAAGTATGACTAATGCAAATTTAGCTGCATGATTCTTCTGTCAACCTTTTCAAGGCTGAAAAGCCATCTACAAAAAATAAAGAAAAATGAAAAAAAACCCAAACACTTTCCAGGATCAAATCCTTGCTTTAAACATTTATCATTAGGCAACATGCTTCAAGAATCCCAATAAAGAACGAAAACAAAAATACAAAAACATTGATGTGAAAGAAAAAGATCGTTCCAAGTAGAAATCAATACTCATGGATTTTTTCATCCTTCTAATTAAAGGTAAAATATGGTTATGGCTTTAAAGTTATATCCCAATACTCTGATTCACAGCAATTCTGCTGGGCATGAAAAACCCAGAACATTGGTCTGGTACCAAACTGTAACAGCAACTATCAAATGTATGCCACACTAAACAGGTTTGGAAGATGACCAGGCTGACACTGGATTCCACACAAAAAAAAAAAAAAAAAAAAGACCCTGATACTGCATCTTGGGACCCACAGACAAACACCACCACCACCACCCCAAAAATAAAATCACCTCTCAAAGCAACCCCCCAAACTTGGTGTCATTTTGATGTGAATTATCTTATAGACTCTGAAAGGGCTGATGAGCCACTGGAACACTCAACCCTAAAACCAGGAGTACTGTTAGTAGAGGGATGCTGCAGCCAGAGCTGGCAAGCTCTAGCTGAAGAAATGACTGAAGTACAAAGCAGGTGAGCTGTGTTTTAGGTAGAACTGTAGCTTTTTTGGGAGCTGTTTCAGTTAAGTGATGCAGAGCTACTGTATTGCAACCCAACTCTGGAAAACAGAATTGAAATAAAACACTCTGGCATTCACCTTGATTTCTGTACCATTCTAAGCTCTTTTGTGATTAATAAAGAGGTGGCATTTCCTGATTCAGGGACAGCAGTCATCAACCAGCTCCAGGACACACTGCTAACTGTTCCCCACAGCCCACACTTGGTAGTTAAAAAGGTTGATTTTAAGGCTTAACAGCCCCAGCAAAAACATATATCAAGTCAGAGACAACACTGTATATCAAATCCATAAATAAGACATGTCAATTGATATCCATAAAAATTACATTAAAGTGGCCAACAAGGCCATGATAGCCCTGGTTAATGCTGAATAATCCAGGTCTCAGATGGGTAAGCAAAACCATACCAAAATCAGGACTCTGTACCCAAATTATCAGTCAGTTTTCCTAATTTAAAAAAAAAAAAAGTTGACTCTCAGACATAAACTAGTACCAGAAGATAAAAACACCAGTACTTTAATGTGATAACCATTTGTGTAGAAAAAAGCAAGGCTGTCTCAGTGACAGTGGGAGAAAGGAGGCATTATTCATAGCTAAAGCCTGAAAGTGGAAGATATTCCCTTCAATGCTTGACAGCAATTGTTTGAGATATGACAGATGGCACACCTGTGACTGAGGTGGAAACACACTTCATGACTCCAGCATGGACACTGTGCTTAAGTCTGTGCTGCTTTAAAGTTCATAAAATGCATACTGTGATATCTTCTCAAAAAATGTCCATGCAAGTCAAGTGCTCCTCTAGAGGCAGAAATACAAAGGCCACCACCAATTACTCCATAAATAAATTTGTGTGCATTTTTTGTTTTAAAAATAGCAGCTCATACTCAAATTAGCTATTCAGGGGTAATTTTCATCATGCTTTGGCTTTTTACCTGGCTGCTCCATCTTGAAAAGCCATCATTAAATTACCAATTAAATGTACAGCAATTAGAAATCAGAGGAGACAAACCAAAAGCTGAGCTTGCAACCCTCCCACTAAAGGGTTACATTATCTTAGGGGAGGGCAGGGAGGAAGGGAAAGTCTCAGGAGTTATATGGAAACAGTGTCAACTCCAAAAGTGCTTCTTGAATTCAAGACAAAACTGTAATGAAGTCACTTTTCCCCCCGTTTTCTACTTAAAAGGGATACTGTAGGAAATATAATTCTTTCCCCTCCTAGTTCTGCAGTTAATCCCCTTTTCACCACCACTTAGCTATGCACAAGGGGAAATTTATTTAAAAAAGTCAGGATGGGCCCAGACAGTTGATTTAAGTTTTGTGAAACGGCAATTGTGCCACTGTCTGAAGCTCCTGACTTCATCTCCTTATCCAGGGCAGGCTGTGTTTGGATTTGGAAGACTCAAATCCCCTACAAGATCTGGCAGCCGTAGCTTTCAGAATCAGGCTCAGAGACTGAAATGCTGAGCTCATGTGCAAGTTCAGGTTGTTCTTCAGGGCCTCTGGCACTGAGCCAACACAACCTGCACTTGCACCCGTGTCTGTTAAGCCAGGACAGGGCTACACATTTTTATACCCTTTGTTCATAACTTACTGGCAGGGTAGGAAAAGCAGCGTCATTCTCTCCTTCAATCTCATAGAAAGTCACAGTTTCTTCTGGCCCTTGAGGTTCCTCTCCATGCCCTGCCAGAAACCCATCCTGACACTCCTTATTCTCACACTGCATCCGACGGCGGCTCCGGCTGTACGAGCTTCAAGAACAAGAAAGGAGGTTAAGAATCACCACCATCTGCAGTTTCTGCTGCTTTCAGACAGTTTCTCATACTCACTTTATAGTCACTTACCAGGACCTGCTGGAGAAGTTGTCATAGCTCTGATAACATCTCTTTCCTGGACAGGACTAGAATGCTATTTTTGAGGGCCAACTACGTTGTGCCTGTTTATAAATCAGGCAGATTCCACAAGTTTAAAGGGGAAAAACTGCAATTACCAGGAATTAATCCACTCTCATACTGAAAGCTTTTGCTACCATTTCATAGAGGGCTGGAGCAGCCTTATCCCACATAACCACATTTCTTCAGTCCAGGCTGTGGGATAACTAACTGTCAGGAACATTATCTGCCAGTGATAAATGACCACTCATTTTCACATGTTCAATGCTTTTATTTTGTGCTGTCAGTGCAAATTAACCACCAAAGACTATCACCATATGTGCAACAGCTTTCACAAAACAAATCTTACAAATATACAACAGATCAAAACGTTATTCTTGTATTTCCAGTCATGAAATCTATGCACTATGAAGGCAGACAGAAATGCAGCTATGATAAATATGTGACCACTAGCGGCAAAGCAGCTTTGTTTTGCAAAATCTGAGAAAGCCAACTTATTTTAAACATTTTCACCCTCTAATGACTCTATGCCCAATTTTTATCTATAGTTGTAGTGGCAGCCTATTTCAGTGTTTCAACAAGAACCAGGTGTTCAAGTGTTCAGTGCAACCTCTCAGAGACACATGCCTTTAGTGACAGGGCTTTTTTCCACATACTTTATGCAGCCACATTCAGGTTGTGTTCCCTGCATTATAGGTTGTGTGTACCTTTTTCCTATGCTTCCCTAATCAACTAAAACAACATCTTGTCAACTAGGAGCATAAACCTAAAGAGAAACATGAAATATGAATGCAGCTTGATCAACTGACTCAGCCCCCTAAGACAGGACAACATTTACAAAAATATATTAACAATAGTTGACAAACAAGAAACGAGAAACCAAGAATGAGTTTCCAGCTCCCAGATTTACATTCCTTGAGGCATGTCATAAGGCACAGGGTTAGGTGAGGCAATATAGCTGATTTGGTGTGGTGGTCCTGAACTCACAGCGTTGGCCATTTGTGGTGAACTTCCATGTGCAGGATTTACTGGGTGCCAGGTACTAATATAGTGATAGGCAGGTACCACAGTGTCAAACCCAGGCAGAGACTGCTGGCTGAAGGGGTCCGACACAACTGGGTAATACACTGGTCCATAGGAGGGGGGTGGAGGCTCTGCATTTGGAAAGTTACCTTAAAAAACAGAACAAAATGCACATGCACAGGCTTTAACCACATTCATGGCCTTTACGCTGTCTTTCATTACTATGGACACAGCAGGACTCAAATACCAACCATTTGCTGGTGCTTCCAAGGGAACCTGGACTTCAGTCTGCCGAGCATCAGTGAAGACCTGAGGTACTGACTGATCTAAGGCAGGAGCTGGCTCAGCATATGCTGGATAAACTTCTACTGAAGATGGAGGCAGCACTGGCTGTACATACACCATGGAAGGCCAATAGCTCTGATGGCAATACTTAGAGGAAAAGAAAAAAACCCACAAGGTCAGGCATATAAGCACATACTCCCCTCCTCCAAATAGCTACTGGTTCAGATCTAAAGTTAGGGAAAAGTGCATTTTTTACCTTCCTAGCCCCTTGAAACACCAAACAAATAAATAATAATAAAAAAATACCGCCTACCAGAAATGATATTGCAATACACAGCAACGGCCAGCTCAGTTCCACACTGTTGTTATGCCAGAAGTATTTACAGAGGAGGAACATTCCCACCTACTGGCTTGGTCATATTCAAAAAGATTTTTAATATTTCCTCGTTTGAAAAAGTTCACATTACTTCTTTTACTTCCCTGACCAGCAGACTGACACTGCATATGACTACTGGAAGAGAAACAACTCTTCAACAGAGCAAGAGTTTCCAGAACACAAAGAAATGGTCTGAACAGAGCTGTAAAAGGCCTAGAAGACTCAAACCACACATCTCTAAGTGGTCTTTGATGTCTTGTCTAAGTACACAAAGTTTCTTAAGAATGGCTCAGGTTCTCTGCCTTATCTTCAGTGAAAGAAGAATATTTATTCACCACCCCCTGCAAAAACAAAAGCAAATCCAAAAACCACCACCACGACCCAGAGTAAAATAACTTAATTACATACAGCATGCTTCATATTTTGAGTTAGAACTTCACTTCCTGAGCCACACTTTGATCTCCACCAAGCAAGCCAATATGTATTAACAGTCAGGAGCACAGGATGCACATTTAGCACACTTAGAAGTGTTCAATGCATTACTGTATTTGTCAAGAAAAGCAGCAGTTCTTACAGGCAATGTACTATACTCATTTGAAAAGTGCTTACTTGCAATCCCAGGTTAAAGTAATACCGCAAGACCTTTGTATCTGAAATGAAAGGATATGACGTTAAAGAGCAGAGGGATAAAAACCAAGAAGCAAAAGCAATTCACACACATTAAGAACGTTTTACTTTCAGCTACTCTTACTTAATGAATAAGAGTATCTTAGCACTACTTTTTTTTTTTTAAAAGTTTCAAGGGTAAACAATGTATCTTGAACAGAAGTAGCTGTTAATGCTAGCTTATCTTTTTAACTTAATCCAGTTAGACGTTTGTGCAATAGCAGAGCATTTGTCTGACCAACTTATTATTTAACTTGAGTGACTACATTAGCTTTAATTTTGGTTTACTCATCTTGATTACTCAAGTGGTAACTGTCAATGTTGTTACAAGTCTCCATTGTCTAAGCAACTAGGATTTAAGCAAATCTGGCTTCCCGTTAATCTTGAGGTTTTAAAGGAAAAAGTATTTTCTCAAATAGAAATCAGATGAATCCCAAAATGAAGTTGACCACTAAAGGCCCTCCCTCCCTCACTACAGAAACGAGAAAGGGTTTGGAAGCATGCAGACAGGCAGAAGCAGCCTTCTCACACACCTCTCAGTGACAATTCACCAAAGCTGTTACATACACAGTTTGTACACTGCCCACATACTGCCAATACCCTTACTGGGCTGGCACACGAGACAACAGGCCAGCTCCAGAGACTGCAGCTTCACACTGCTGCTGCCCAGGGTTAGCCTGTCTCTGCCACCACCTCCACCTTTAGAGCTTTGTTGAGCCATGGCCACGGGGACATGTCAATGGGGACCACACATGCACATAACGACCCCAAGACCTTCCCACCCAGTTTTGGGGGTCTCCCCAGTTGTTACATCAAGTGAGAAAACAGAGGCAGGGAAGGAGGAATAAGAACATATTCCTTCCTTCCCCTTCCTCACAAGGGTACTCAGTTCCCTGCTTTCTTGCAAATAGTCTTTTACTTCTGTCTTCCATGTACTGAATCATTTGTCCCCAGGCAAGTACATGAAATGCTGAGAAGCAATATCAGATGTGTGGAGGAACTTTGAAACCACTTTCCAAGCACAACAGGGTCTTGAACTTGGAAACATATTTCTGACTGTCCAAAAACAGTGAAGGAGTTTTAAACCTTTAGAGTTGACCACTGAAAGGAAAGAAAAGAGAGCAGGTGTTGAATCCCATGATGCAGTTCTGGAACTATGCATGAGGAAAGCTGATTTCTTAGATTGCAATACAGCTTTGTTTTAAAGGCTCAGGAAGAGCAAGTCACCTACTGCACAGCACAAACTTCACTTTAGCACAGCTGGGAGTTGACACAGAGAGCAGGGAGACAACTCAGAAGGGGCAAGCCACTAAGGGCTTCAATTCAGCAACACCTCAGAGTTACCATATATTCTCCACCAGGGCCTTAGATCAACAGTGCTTCCCCATCCACCCATGTCCCACACATTCCCAGCCCTGCTCCTCTGGGGTACTGCAGGTGGTATTTTGCTGCAGGAAGGCACAATGTCAGCAATGTAAACTCCAGTCTTAAAATGCATGAGGATTTGTTCCTCTATCATTGCTGCCAATTTTCAATTCTTTTAACGTTCAGCATATCTGATCAGGCCAACAATCCCCACAGCTATTTTAGGAAGTGCACACAGATCCATCCTTATGTCAGCTTACTTAGTCCTGGAAGTGTTGGTGATCTGGCTATAACATTGACCACAGTCACTAAAACATTAAAAATAACCCAAAGGCCTACATGAATGCCAACTTTTTAGTATCTAGCTGAAACTGCATCTACATTTGGAACAAGTTGGTTGTTGGTTTTTTTTTTATCCAATTTTATTCTTTGTTTATGCAAATTATGCAAAGCAAGCATCAGAGCAGAATGAAATAGCTGCTTCATAGCAGTGATAACAGTACAAAGGAAGAGCTGAGAGACTGAAGTGGCACACTGATACTGGAAATACTGCTGTCTGTGGAATGCTGGAACAGAAGCATGTACAGTAGGAGACCAGTCTTCGTTTATATTCCTATTTTAGATGTCCAGAAATCAAGTAAAGTCTTCAGTAAAACACTACAACTTTTATGAAGCAATAGCTAAGCCAAAGAAAGTTACCCACCCCTAATGAAAACACAAAGACCACGCTGACTGCTGATTAAAAGCTCATCTCACAACAAAGTTTTTACTCTGCTGATGGGAAGCTCTGGCCAACCCTGAACACTGCTGCAGTCTCTGGAACACACTTACATCAAGCAGTCTTTTATCAACACCTCCTTCAAATACAAGGGACCAAGCAAAGGTAGGACATCTGAGGTGACCATTTGTAAGTGCAAACTGCCATTAAAACAAGATCCAAGAGGCCATGAAAACTGGAACAAAGGCAGGTACAACAACTAATGCTAAGGCACACAGCAGGTTTTCCTCCCAGGTCCAGGTCTACTGACAAGTCAGGGTCCCCCATCTATAGCAGGCCTGCAGGTATCTTTAGCAAAGCACACAGAACTCCAGATCAAGTACACCCACATACTTTACCCTATGCTACCCCAAAGATGCTGGATTTCTTAATCTAAAGGCCATTCAGATTATCATATAGTCTAACAACATAAATGCTACATGCAATTAATTAGCAACCTTAAGATCCTTATTCTAGAGTCTATGCCAAAAAGCACGTGGCCAGCATTATGCAGAGTGACTCAGCTGAAGAGCTACAGGTGGGGTCTGAAGAGGTTATTAATCCACATCCACTCCAGCTCCTTGTCAGCACACTTAACACCCAATTCTCCCAAGTGCTGAAAGCATCAACTACAGGCATTCACCTAGAGCTGAAAAGCATGAACTCTGATGTTATAGGATCAGCCAGAGTGATGGTACCACAGCAGGGAAGTGGAAAACAGAATATTCAAGATGAACAAATCTGGGAATTGAGAGCACAGGCAAGACAGCAGAGTAACTGAAGAGCACAGCAGCAGGACCTGTGAAAACAGCAGGCCTGGTCTCTGCACACTCATTGCTCAGTGGCTGAAATGTACCTTAAACACTGTCCTAACTGATGACAAGGCTACACATACAAGGAACAAGGTGACCCTACACTTAAGCCCTGGTTTATGATACCACAGAATGACATCTTGGAGCACAACAAAAACAGCCCACTGAACTGTGCAACAGCACAACTTTATAAATACAATTATTTTAATCAGTTATGAGAAAAATGATTACTGTGCCACAAACCAGTATGTTATAGGCCAAGCACCCTCTCCCTTGACATTCATTTATTTAGGGTGCCATCTAGAGCTGCAGTAATCACACATTTGAGTCAGATACAAACTTTCTATTCAAAACTGGGAATTAAAATGTTTTAGCATAAGCATCTATAATATTATTTCTCACTCCCTGTGAGCTGCAAAGAGCTATTTCTTCTCACTACTGGTATTCTGTCAAGCTTCCAAGGAGAACACAAGTCAGAAGTGCTGAAGAGCAGCAGGAGTAAAAGCACAAAATACCATCATTACCTCGAGGCAGATCACTGCCACTGGGATCACAAGAGTAAGCTGGAAGAACAGCACCTGCTTCTCCCACTTCACTCACTGGAGGAAGAGGAGCTGAGTAAGTTGGGAATGGCACCGAAGAAACTGCTACAATTGGAAGGAAACAAATGTCACGCAAAAAGTCAACTTTGCCATGGTATGTCAAATGAACAAGGTGCTCAGTTACACAATTAAGCATGCACTTTGTCACCACAGTGCCCCTAAATTCAGGCTCTAACAAAATTCTCTTTAGCAATCACTTCAAAACAAGTCCAGAAGAAATTCTGAAACCAGATGGGAAGGTTCCAATCTCTGGAGCCTTAATTGTATGTCTATCTGCAAGCTTCATATCCCAGATAAGAAAAACTGTCTTTTTCAATCATTTCTCCATATTAGAAGGCAGGCCAGACTTCTCTTACATAATTGTCTGCCCTAGAACAACAGAGAACAGATTAATCACTTCAAGTCATCGGAAGTGTGACAATAAGCCCATAAAAACAAGACAAGGTTCAAGACACGTCAGGCCAAAAATATTTTGGACAGCCTACTGTTAAACATTCAGTAGGTATGAAGGAATAACACATAAGGAGGTTGGCACCGGTGAGCAGACAGCTTTGAGAGCTCTGCTGACTAAACTCTCAAGCAGACTAGAAAAAAAAAAAAAAGGTTAAGAAAAGTGAGACAGAACTGAGCAGAATAGACGGTGCAGGTTTTTCGGATGCTAAACGAAGAGTTACAGAAGACAGGAAAATTGCTCCTTGCAAGAAGAGAAAATGAAGTTTTTTAACAGACACTTCCAGGATGTTAAAGCAAATACATCTAAGGGGGCAAGTGCACTATGTGACCAACCACAAATCTGATCTCCTTGCACAGAAATAAGTAAGCACAGAAGTAACTGAGGGTCACAAAAATGAACCGGACACTTGTGTGAATCCTGAAACCTCACAGCCAGTGACTCTTCTGGAAGAGACAGTGAAGCCTCTGGAACAGCATCTCAACTCCAGGGTGCTGCCATGAACTTCTGTCTTCTAAAAAGAACTTTCTAGCAAAACTCTTGGCTAAAGGTGGCAAGGGGGGAAAACCCAAAGCAGAGACCTCCAATTCCTATGCAAATTTGGGGGCAACTGCCCCTTCAAAATAAAAAGTCAGCAATCAAGTTACAACAACAACAAAGTAATTTTAAACCAAAGCAAGTGACACTTCTGTTTTTAAACCTTTTAGCATTTGTTTTGGATGGGGGAGGGGAGGGAGGGCAAAATAACTGAAAACTTAGCAATCCAAGTCCAGGGCTGCAGTCCGTACACTCTACCTGGCCTCCCCACAGAAAAGGGAGATACTATGACAGGTTGAACTGCTGTTTGGGGGGGAGTTGCTGTGGTGACACTGGCTGGAGTGGAGGCAGCAGAATTTGAAGAGAGGCCTGTAGCTGGAGCAGTATAAACATCTGTGGAGGCTGAAACTCCTGCAGAGTTCACCAACACCTGGAAAAGAGTCAGAGTATTCAGCAGACTGCCTCTGCAACTGGCTTTGACAAAGACTACAGAAATACCACATACTTCAAAAATTCTCACTTTATATAAATCATTTTGGAAATCCTAGCTGTAAAGGCAGCTAACTACCCAAATTCTCTAAAAATTGGCTCAAAAAATACCAGTTTAGAGTTACAGACACCTACAAGGCATCTTCTGGCTCTTCTGTTTTGCTTGGTTTTGTTGCAGCAAATTGTAATCTTTGCTGCAAGATGCTGTAGGGGACCCCCACAAACTGACACAATGCAAGCAGAGTGGTTTCCTCTCCACAGGGCTACCATGATAAAGTAGGAGATAAAGTACCAGATACTACCTTCTGGGGATAGCTGTAGGAAGCCCCTTCCTCGTGAGGTGACACCGAGACAGGCCCTTCTTCCTGAAGGGATTCCAAAACCAAGCATGGTCCATTTAAGTGGCAAAGAAGCCACAAGGCACACACCCCACACTCCTATTTTTTTTTTATTTACGGACTATACACCCACACAGATCATCTTTCATAGCTCAAGGAAAAGCAGTTTTATTCTGACATGCACAGGACTGCTTTCACACCCACTGCAGAGCAGCAGGTGACTAAAGACTTAGTTTCAAATTGAAAAAATAAAACTCCAAGGTCAGTTCTATCACAGATGAGATCTCTTCAGTCCCACAGTGGAGGACTAAGATTAGCTGGAATACAACTTGAAAGGCAGCATGATAAAAGCAAGTGCTGTCTGGAGTAGAGAAAGAAAAGTAAACAGCATTCAAATAGACATTTTCTCTTCCACAGAGCAAAAGATGAAAAATCATTCACGTATCCAGCACAATTCAAACTTGACTGCTGATAAAAATCTCACTATTTAGGGAGAAAAGGAGGGGGAATGTATAAATGAAACCAACATGCCTTTCTAAGAAGTCTCTGACCTGCTGTGTTAAGCCTGCATCCAAGGACATTTCCTGTGAAGAATACTATGCACCTCAAGGATCCCACATCTGAACAGACTGTGACTAAAGCTTACCAAGTTTGCTGTAGGTTCTGCTGAACTAAATACTGTTGCAGTTTCACAGTCAGGATCTGGAGGGCGTAGGCAAAATTAATTGAAAAGAGTTGCATTAAATCTAATCCTTCAGAAACGTATAAAAATGTCTTAATATTACATTCACCAAATATTCTATCAGTAAAGACTAAATTTTTACTTACCTGGAGGTGCATAGATATATTCTTCATGAAATTTTCCTACAAGGGAGATAGAACAGGAAGCTTTGATTCAGGGAAAGGGGAAAAAAAAAAAAAAAAGCTTGGAGTTACAATTACATTTTTAGTGCATCCATTACTAACATGTTTTAAGTATCCTCTTGCTTTGTGCAGAAAAAGTAAATAAACACTGAAGCTACTTGGTGGAAGAACAAATGGTGTTATCAAGGCTGACATTACCAAATTTACACCATGCATTTTTAAGCAGCAACTTAACTTGCTACAAACCTCCACAAAGGTGCTGGTGTGGCAGCTTAAACAGAAGAGACACTTGTATCAGACAACAAAGAAATATAATGTGTTCACACACATATTCAGAGCTCACAACAAAGAGATCTCTAGGAGGTGTAAGGACCCCCCTTGGACAATTAAAAGCACATTGAAAAATTTATAAATCTGGTTTTTTGCCTACTAATCCCTTAAGAACTCACCATTTTCACTTATTGCTTCCTCCTCCTCTGAGGAATTCAGGGTCTGCTTGTTAGGTGAAACAGAGTTCTGGTTTCTCCTTGCTACCCAAAATCCTGCTGGACTATGGACAGTGGGAGCAGGACTACTCTGGTTCTGAAAAGCAAACTCAGAAGCATGCATTTAGAAATAATTTAAAGCCTTTCCACGCTCCACACAGATGCACACACACAGTAGCAACAGGCTGGCAGATGAAGCTTTCTGCAACCAAAGCTTACTGAAGTATCATCTGTGTGTCCATTCCTATGCGCCTGATTGCAACAAAACAGTTGCATCCACATTTCCTTCCTTTATCTTTTGTTCTGCCTAGAATACTTAAAGCAATTTTTTATTTCAAGACCTACCAGTGTTCTATGCTATGCAGTGAAGTTGCTTCCTCCCAGAACTCAGTCAGCTCTAACAAAGTTGAAAAGGGGGAAGGAGACCCCAGATAACAGCCAAGACTGCTACCTCCAACACACATTACTGCATTCCTCATTCTGGAGCATCTGATCTACTAACAGCAGATCAGTTCATCCAAATACTCCAATTATCACGGGCAAAGGTTATCTTTAGTCACCACCAGTGAACCCCAGGGGTTACTGCTGGCACAGACACCACTGTCTGCACTAACTCGACCCACACATGCACGCCTGACTGTTTCAGAGAGCAGCACACATCAAGCTTTCCCAAAGGACTCCAACATTTTACATGCCCTCTGTGTTTGCACTGAAGTCAGTACCTAGCTACACCACAAGTTAAAAGATATAGTTCTCTGAAGCAGGGCTATAGGATTGAGATGCTCGAGGAAAAGAACTCGATTCACTCTTTTGTGATGGCTGAGGTGACACTCAAAATTCTCCTCAGAAGACATAAAAGATTGATAAAGTGCTTAGAGAGGCCTGAAAGATTTCTGAAGTGGAAGCAGAGGTTGTAAGTCAGAAGATTATCCCATCAGGCCTCTAGTAGGATGGCAGACTCATCTGTGGGATGCATCTTTCCCCAGAAAATGTCATATTCCTTTACTGAACAAGACAGAGAAAAAGCTTTGGCATCGACAATACCAAAGTGAGTGAAGGAACATGAAAACCTATTCCTTAGGAGCTGGGGGTACACGGTCTAGCAGTGGGGAGGAAAAGCCAGTAAGCAATACTGATTTCATATGGAAAGAAGAAATGGCAGGATAATCTGTCTTTATTCCTTGACACTCTTGGAGAAAAATCAGAGCAAAAATTAAAGATCTAGTGCATGAGGGCAAAGAAAAAATGACTGCTCCTGAAGCAACCCTGAGCACCTTCCCTCTCCCTCATTTAAAGACATTTGTTAAGTTCTCTGCTTTAATACAATTCAAAAAATTCAAACCTACCAAGCTTTTTTTTGTTTGTTTCTAAAAGATTTGCTTTCCTATTCAGATACCTCTTTATCAGTTGTTTTCTGGTGGGTTTTTTTTGATAGAACACCCAGCTTTGGACTAGGCTTGGACTACAAATAAAAGAAAAAGACGTATTTTAAAGTTTAAGAATACACTCTGCCACTTTATCTACAAATCAACAGAAACACTGTTTCACAAGAAGTCTAGATTCGTATTTTTTCCTGTTTCTATAGCAGAATACACTGTTGCAGGAACAACATGCTAATTCAAAACTACCCAACTACAAATTCACAGAAACAATCCAGGCTATCACCATACAGCTTCTGAATCCCATTATTCAAACAATAAATTACAGAGTGGTAAATAAGTGAAAAGCTTTCTCCCACAACATTTAGAGTGAGACAGACATCCACAGGAGGAAGAGATTTTGTTTTGTTTTTCAAACTGCAATAGAAAGGAGAAACGTGGCTTTATGTTTATGAAAATATACTACGAAGAAAACAAGTGCTGCTGGTGAGGACACAGAGAAAGAAGGGGAATATTTCGAAAAACTGAGGTTTTAAGCAGATTTTATAGGATCTCAACTCATTTTAGTCTTCCATGCTCAAAGACACTCACTGCTAAGCCTTACTCCAAGAAAAAAAACCCCCAAAGCTGCTGCATATTTAGGTAAAGAAGTGCCGTGTATTTGTACAGTTTTTCCCTCCTCCTCTCTCTTTGAGAGGTTTCAGCTTACCCTTTGTTCATAACTTACTGGCAAGGTAGGAAAAGCAGCGTCATTCTCTCCTTCAATCTCATAGAAAGTCACAGTTTCTTCTGGCCCTTGAGGCTCCTCTCCATGCCCTGCCAGAAACCCATCCTGACACTCCTTATTCTCACACTGCATCCGACGGCGGCTCCGGCTGTACGAGCTTCAAGAACAAGAAAGGAGGTTAAGAATCACCACCATCTGCAGTTTCACCCTGTTTTGGTGCTCATTTTTAACTCTTTTTTTTTTTTTTTTTTTTTGCAGAGCCACAAGAACCCCTCTGTGCCACTAACAGCCAGCTGAGCCCTTCATGTCCCACCATCCTCCCCAATGCCTAGTTGAGCAACGTTTAGTAAAAGAGGTTTCTGGTCACTCACCAGGACCTGCAGGAGAAATTGTCACAGCTCTGATAACACCTCTTTCCTGGACTGGGGTTGAATGCTATTTGAGGGCCAACCACGCTGTGCCCGTTTATAAATTGGGCAGATCCCCTGAGTTTAAAGGGGGAAAGGTGCCATTACCAGGAAGTGCCTCTCAGGTGGAACTCAGCTGTGGTTTTACCTATTAAGCAGCACAAACTCTCTCCTAACTAGTCTGCAGCAAGAACGAATAGAAAACAAGTGGTCACCTCAAGACAGTTTTCCAAGACTTCATACCTCAGCATCCCAAATCCACGGTGATGTCTCTGAGGGTTCTGCTGATGATAGGGTTTGTAAGGTGCCATGTTTGCAGCACCCTGTGAGCAGTGAACTGGAGGAGAGCGCCCCGAAGGAACACTGTGCTGTAGGCGGGGTGGAAGAAGTGGCTGACCCCTGCTATAAGCCACAGTCATAAAGACTTCCTTTCCACGAACTTTCTTAAGCATTCTCTTTCGTGTTTTCATACCCATTTCTGCAGTTTTCATTGAGGACAGAAGAGACAGATTTACACCTTAAACCTGAGCTATATTCTCTTTATCATTTGAGAACATCTAGTATTTGGACACATGGCAAAGGAAGAGCCAGTAGCCTATCACAGAAAAAGTGCATCATAGCTATGCAAAGTTCAGGCCCTTCTTTTGAAGGCTAAAGCAGGTATTCTACATTATGAGAATACAAGCATCTCACATGTTAAGTACCTTCCCACCTTCAGCTAATCAAACCAGTACTCTCAGTATTTAAAAATCTCTTTATGGAAGCTGAACTTATTTAATAAAAATAAGAAAACCACAACTCCTCCGAATTAAACACTTTCAATCCATATTTAATTGGCTGGGGAAGCCCTAGTCCATCCATGCATCTCTGCTAATGCCAAATCAGACAAGCTTTCTGGTTCACTGATGCAGTCTTTATATAAGGTTCTCAAGAGTCAAATTTGTTTTCAGTAATTTTGAGCAATAACCAATTTGCTCTGTATTTCAATGGATTTGCTCTTTTGCAAAGGTCAATTCATCTCTGTCTGAAAGATAACTTTACATCAAACCCCTGCAGCGACCAAGTTTTGTATCACAAGCTGAATTAAGCCACTTCCAATATCCAAAGACTGCTACAGTTACAACTGTCATGGTCTCCCCTACTCCCCCCAGCTCCAACGCTGCTCAAAACCTCTACAAACCTATTCCTGAGAAGTGTCCACCTGTTATTTTCTGATAGGCTCCTCCCCTTCGGTTGTGGGCCATGTTCCAAGCAAGGACAGGAGCCACCTGAGTCACTGGCTTCAAGTTTGCCAAAGGAACTGTATGTCTGTACAAAGAACACAGGGATGTCAGCAGTGCCTCAAGGACACACTGGGTGTAACTGCACAGCAATGGAAGCTGAAGCAACACCAAGGCAGCAGAAAATATAACAGCTTGTGAAAATAAATAAGCTGTTTCTCTGACACCAAGCACACATTATTGCTACTTGTTTGATAAAAAGGGGCAACCTAGGCTTTAGTCTCAACCCTATTTACTTCCTGGTAAAGGGTGAATGATTAAACAGCAAGGGGGGGAAAGGGATTCGATTCACTGAAATGCCAATTATTTAGTTGTTTGGGTACAACATAAAAACTCCAACCAACAGCAGAGGGTAATTTGGTATCTGTGAATTAAGCCCAAACTGCAAAGATCACTTTCACTTTCCAGTGAATAAAGAGCAGCAGGATTCCACAGAAAGCATTTACAATAATGATTTTGGTCATTAGAAACTCAAGAGAAAAAATGTCCTGCAATATTCTCTTTGAAGAGTGACAGCCAGTAAGGAAGTAATGCCTCACTTTTATTTAAAAGCCAAAGTTCTCTTTTCCAAGTACCTTAACAATCCCATTTCAAGCATCTGTGAACCCAGAAACTCAACTAGAAAGAGTTCAAACTTGAAGTAATCAGCAGATTGCTTACTTTTCTGCCAGCTCCTCAACAAATACAGTCAATGTGTTGCCCTCCTGTCCAACTTCCTGGATATGAGCATTGTAATACCTCTCTCCCGGCTCCAGACGCACCTGGAGAGACAACAAGGGGAGCTCTAAAAAATCCCAAACTGCATCAGAATATTGTCCACAAACCACTAATAGCAAAGGCTGCTCCCAGCCAATCCTGTGCTACTGAGTTGGCCCAGGAGTCTCAAATACTTCTTGAAATTACAGGCAAAATAAAGAGCACTGTACTACCCTCAGGAAGGAAGGGAAAAGGAAATAAAAACAGTCTGGTGAGTGACAGAGAGGCAAGATACCTGCTTCCTAACTTATTTTTATACACTGTGCCAAGCAGATAAGTACCAAGGAAGACTACTACTTAGGAACTTGAGAACAGAAGATAAAACAGGAAATTGGAAAGGAAAGCTCTGCTCAGCAAGAAACAAGTCACTAAGTGAATCATCAGCACTACTTTAAACAGTGATTAAAAAAAAATAAGCCCTGACTACACACAACATCAGAATACAAAGAAAACTGACCTTCCTTTCAGCATCTCCTGGCCACATCATGCTACTCTTCCCTTTCTATTTTATATAAGTATTTTGCTACATCACTGTTAAGAAAGACAAGACCATCCAGAATTTTTGCTGATACCCAGTGAAAAACTCTGAAGACAAACTACCTTCAAAAGCACACCCTGTGCATTTTGAGCTCTCTGCCTGCACATACAGAATGTATATGACTGGTTCACAATGAATTTCCAAACTGCTTTTCCTTCACACTACCCAAAGTTTAAGGGGAGATTTTAGAAAGAAATTACACTAAAAAGAAAGTCAAATTAATTGCTACATGGAAGAGAATGAGAGAAGCCTTGGAAAATTCTATGAAATAAAATGGTTTACCATATTCTATTTTAAGCAGTTTTAATAGTTTATCATAGAACTGAGTCTCCTTTGAGTACTAACCTGACACTTGTCTCCTAAATAGTACTGTCTCCCAGCAAACACCATGTAGTCAGTTTTTTGAAGCTCTAAAAATAAATAAAAATTAAAAAAAAGCCTTTAAACTACTGTTCTTTCTTCTTGTATCCCAAAAGTACTTCATGGCAGCATCCAACTATAATTAACAGGCCAACTGTCATTTCCTACGTATACCTGCAAACATTCCCCACAGTAACAGTGCAGTAACTGCAGATGTTCTAAAACAGACCATAACCAGGCTAAGTCACAGACCAATAATAACCAGATAATGCAGTAAGTAACACCACTACTTCAACGCTACAATGTCTTTGTGGTGATACAGAGTTAATCCCACATTTAGTGCAAGTGCTGGCATTCAGAATTTTGGGCGTATCCTGTCTTGACAGAGTCCTGGTGGCACGTGGCAAAAGTGAAATGTTATCCAAGAAAAGCTGACGCTGCCTAGGGTCTCCTTGCTCCCAGATTTCAGTGGGGTTCTCTCAATTCCTTGCCTGGATTCTGCACACATCAGTGTTCCACACAGATAATTGGTTACTATGCTCTGTTCCAAGAATTTTAATGACCCACGTTACCGCTTACGCGGGTTTAAAACGCTGGAGTTCTTCAGCAGGCAAAGCAAATCAGGTCAGACATCAAACATCACTTAAAAACTTATCCTTCTTGGTAACTTCTTGCTTTACAGATCAGCCACAGTGTATGCCAAAAAGCAGCCAACCTATCCCAAGCCACAGAGACCACGCAATCTCTCCAGAAGGTAAAAGTCCCTGATGGCTGGGAAGCAGGAGAAAAACCCATCTGACAGATCTCAACGTTAAATTTGAGACCTTCATTATTATACAATTCTGAGGCCAAAATCGTGATATAAAAAGGAGTCCTTACACACATACTGTAACTAAAAATTCTCAAATTTGGCTGGTTTCCAACACAACAGAATGGCAACACAGAGTTGTGTACTTTGCTTTGAGTCCTCTTACTTCCTCTATACAGTCAGTAAGTAGCAGAGAGCAGATTTTTAGCAACCTTGTACCATTACACAGTATCAAAAGCAGTGTATTTTGTACTTTGAATTGCAGACAAGAAACCAGCTACTAGCAAGAACATGTCCTACCTACAGGAAGAGTTTTTTGGCTTTCCCCTTTTCAAAGATACCTTTTCTGCTGTCCAGCCAAACATCAAACTCCACGTTTCGATAGATCGCAGAGTCCAGTGCCTTTAGCACTTTATAAGGAACAGGCATCTTTGGAGGATTTTCTGAAGGCTAAAACAGAGTTGAAATGCAACATTAACAAGTGCATTTCATGTGTTCAGCACAGCCTCTAACCTGTCAGCACCTGTGGATCATTTTGAAGTGCACAGATGCTACTTTCTGAAATTTTCACTTCCACTGTATCCCCTAAAAACTAAAACTCAAGAATATGAAAACACATTTAGGTATTCAGGTGCTGAGCAAACAGATTTTGGAAAGTAGAAACAGGCTCGAGAGTAACATTTGGCATGTTTTTATTTAAAAAGAATCAAAGGAATCTAACCGGACCAACGAAGCCATGACCTCAGAAACTGGTGGGAATTTCAGGTATTATATCTGAAAACAGGTTTTTGTAGAGTTTCTAAAACTCTACAAATGCAGTCCACACTACAGACAAGAGAAAAATGAACCAGTTTAAACCATTTCTGGGGAAAAACGAACAACAGACCAGGAAACATCTGCTAAGTTCCATCTTCCAGTGGAAATGAAAATTAGCTAGGGGAAGAACTAGAGAATTTCAGAAAGGAAAAAGGCTTATCCAATTTAATAGAAACTCAAGGAGGACAAAACCAAAAGACAAAAGTAGATGGAAAAAATAAACCACATACTTTCAAAAATCCGTTTTTAGAAAGTCAAAAGAGGGTTTAGCACTGACAAGGGTAACAACATACAACAGAAAAAACCAAGAACAAACTATAAAGTTTTCTTCTCTAACTGACAAACCTTTTCTTCTTCAATGCCTTGTTTGAACTTAGCTTCCTCTGGATTGTCAGCATCATTGCATTCCCAGTCATCCACCCTAAGTAATTGAAAATAAGATTACAACAGATACAACACATGATTTCTAGCCAGGATCAAATCAACCAACTGCTCATACAACCTGAAAAAGCACCATGGTGCCATCAAGTGGTAGATTTTGCCTTAAACACTAGTGATGTGCAATGCAGTACAGGATAATCCTTTTCCAAGTTTTAAGAGTAAAACCTTTACTTGTTCCAACATCCACTCCTAACGAGGGTACTGCTTGAGTTAGAAAAGGATGAGGGTGATCCCACTGAGACTGAATTCTTGCACTGTCAAGTACAAGACACCCTGTTCTAGGTCCCATCAAAGCAATGTCGTCTGCAAGCATTTAGCATTGGCCAGAGGCAGCTCTCAAGCCTTTCAGAGCTGTAGAGGCTTAGAAGAGTACTAAGTGTCTCACTAAAAAAAAAAAAAACAAACAATAAAAAAGCTTTGATGAAATAAGGAACAATTTCCCTTACAAATAAGCTGTCATTTTACAGAGTAAGACACAACTGTAACATAGCCCAGAGCAGAAGATATTCAATCACAAGACACTTCCCAGCTCCAAGGAAAGCACACGATTTACTCCTCCACGACATACTCGAGGTGTGTGCTCGTGTCATGACATAGCAAAAAGGGAGTTAACATTCCACAAAAATTTCAAAGAAATTTGGAAAAGTTGTCCTCTGCAAGGTTTTTAATTTTTTTTGCTTCCCTTTTCCAGATCCCTTCCCAAAATACTACCTCTTTTCTGACGGATTTCTGGATACTTTTTCATGAAGACAACCGAAGTTTGCATCCTCGCTTCCTACACGACCACTGTTTCTGTTCTTCTTGGATCCACTTCGAAACACCTCAACTGCAGACCTTAATTCTTCCTCATCCATGCCAAACACACCTTTGTACAGGACCTCATATAATAGAGCTGATCAACAAAAACCTCGATAATATGAGATTCATAAGAACCGCTGCAATTTTCAAGGTAAGCATATCTTCAGATATATCTACTGTTACAAAGCACTAGTTATACAAAATTTAATTAAGGAGAGAATCATAAAGTAATTCAGGTGGGAAGAAGGGATCTCTGGAAGTCATTTGGTCCAATATCCCACTTTAACAGATAAAAAAATGAGTGTATGTTACATTAACGTACAATAAATGAGTTTCCATCTCTCTCCTCCCCACCCCTGAAAGCTGAAACAAACCCTGCCTATAAACATATGAAAACATGTAATTAATTCTCTTTCATAGAAAAATGATCTGAAGTTTACCCTGGCAAACAGCAGCATTCTCCTGAAATTGTTTTGTATACACAGAGTCATAATGGCCGTTGCCTGAACAACACAGTAAAATCTGGAAAAGAAAAAAAAAAGGGGGGATAAAAAAAAAAAAGCTTTAAGGCTGGAATTATGTAAATCCAAATTCTTTCTACCTCATATACTAGCTCCAGACTACATTATTCTTTCATTCTATAGTTGACACCAACTCACCAAGAAAACAATAAATATTCTCGATACAAATATGAAAAAGCCGTAGAATCAGCTTAAAACTGAATCCTAGGTAAAGTCTCTAAATTTTCTCTATCATACAAAAACCATCAATTTGTACATCCTGCTGTATTAAACATGAAATATGAGTTTGTTTCCACCTTACTTCCAAGACCACCAATTGCTAAAGAGGTAAAATAAATACAAGCCATTAAATGCAGTACCCCTGAGACCCACTGTCCAAGTGTCAAAGGCACATTTCATCCTTCTTTATGCAACGGACAAGAAGAGCATTTATTTCTGTAGCCCTCAAAGCCTAACTTTTTATCAAAAGTATTGTGCTGCTTTTTGAAGGGATGCATGCAGATTCCTGCAGCAGATGCACTGGCACACCGTGTAAATGTGTGCCATCAAACCCCACCCTGGCACACAGCCACAGCCAACTGCAACCAGCAGAAGCTGTCAGGCAGCTCCCAGCACACTGCCAGCAAGGATGCTTCCCAGAGAGCCAGCAGGGGCTGGGATGCCAGGGCTCTTAATTCTGTGAGCACTGGCTATTCTGCCAACACAAGCTCTCCTCTCCCGGTGAGGATGAGCAACACCAGAAGGAGCTGCTGCCTGTATGTGCAATCTAATGACAGACAGCTGCCAACACTTAATGAGAGCTCTGGTTTTGTAAAGCCCTGGAGGACAAACACACATTTAAACCATACTGCTTGATTTTTAAACTCAGCTCATTCTGGAATTAAATTAAGCTACACAGAAAACTACAAAGAAAAAGAAAGAAGTGAGTGCAAACCAAGTAAGCAATACTAATCAGCAGAAATCAACAGCTGCTGCAGCACAGATTCAGAGCAGACTGGCCACTTTGGCAAATATAACAGCCCACACTGAAATCACACCACAGCAACTTAACTGGCATCATGCCTGAACTAGTCACCTCTGCGTGGCTGCTGAAAACAAGAGGGCTCAGAGGGAAGGTAATACATAGTATTTCTCCTCTATATTCCTTCCTTTTGCCCCCAGCAGTAATTCTGCTGTAGACAAGCTGTTTCAATAGTTCCCATCCTTAACTCACACCAGTTTGTACATCACAGAAATCAGCTTTAATAGATCAGTCCAATCCCATTAACTTCTCCTCTTCAACAAAAAAACCTGCACGCCTCATCTGACTTCAGGAAGTGGCACTAGGGGTGGGGAGAACACCTTCTATTTGCCAGTATGAGAAATGTATCTTGGTGTAACTCAACACATTTCATTCTACGCTGTCAGGTTATTCAAATTTACCCTGGGAAGTGTTTTTACACAAAGATTTCAGAAACATGAAAGAATATTCCGGAGTTGTGATATTACCTCTTGCTATCAAAATCAAAGTTTGAAGCAGGAGTAACAGAACAGAGTGGCAGGGAACAGCATACAAATCCATCACTCAGATAGGAAGTAAAGCTGTTATAACTGAGTTAACTTGTGCAAATCCTGTGCTTTTTCTGTGAGCTGAAGTCAACTCTGCGGTTTTGTTCAAATATGCAAGGGCACTAGAGTTTCAAGAGCTCAATTCCAGTGGCAAGATTTTACAACCAAGCAGGACTGAAGGTAAGTAGATACCAGGGGTAGGAGGAAGTTGCCCTCACTTCTGCTCACCTTGTCTTCAAAGTCATTGTCTGTGGCATATGTGGGTGGCTTTCCAGGGTACCGATACAGAATGAAGTCTCGCCTAGGTAAGCGGAGGAAAAACAAGACTTACAAGAGCAAACTTTTAGTAGAACCATGTTATGAAGAAGTTTGCAGGGAACTGTTTAGAGAATGCACTGCTGGTTTACAAAAAAATCGTGTGATTCACTGAAAAGTGAATGCTCCCAATAAATATGCAATGGCCAGATGAGTAAACACCACCCATCTTGAGAGGAACAAAAAAATTATCCAGGAAAGTGCATGGTATTTACTCACAGATGAAATCAAGGACTTATGCTGGTAGAAGGGTGCTCAGACATTGAGACAATTTATTTTTTTAGAATTTACAATTTACAAGACAATCACTAAGGGAACCAGTCCCCCTGCAAAAGGACTAGAACCCCAGTACAGAGAACTAGTAACTCGTGCCAAACTTCAGTTTGTTCCTTTAGTACTGAGGCACAACGAGCCTGCAAAGGGAGGGTTCTTGTTTCTGTCACTGGAGAGCCAGCCTGTTACAGGATAGCAGCATTTTTAGCAAGGCAGCAGCACCTCTGCAGGCTTTAATTTACCTCTGAAATAAGTATCAGGGTTTATGCACCAAGTAGGCAAGTACTCCTCACTGCTGGTGCTTTCAAGAAGGCTCACACGAGTTTTAGTCATGCTTTTAACTACCACAGTGTTTCCACTACAGACAGCCCCTTGTTTTTCCCCATTTTCCATCCTTCAGCCACCAGAAAGTTTAACATCAACAAACAGATAACAAAGGAGCATCCCTGGAAAGTGACCCTCCCCTTAACCCACAGGAGCTGGGATGGCACCATTTACATGTTAGTGAAGTGTTAAGGAAGCATTTCTCACCATGTTTCACACATCCACAGCTCAGTGACAAAGAGTTAGAAGGTTCTGGGGCCACAACCCCCACACCATCAACCCAAAACAAGGAAACATAAACAGATACTTACTTGTACATCATTGATAAAGCGCTTATTTCCAGCTGGCCAGCACTTTCCTATGCAAGATTATAAGATTACATAAAAGAGTAGAGGCATCTTCAACATCAACAACTTTATGCCAGCTCTCTGCATTATTAAAACCCCCATCCAAACTCATCAGTTTGTTAAAACAACCAATGCACTGGAAGTTAAGGTATTAGAATTTGGGGGAGGGTGTGGTGTGGTGAAAGGGGTCTGTAGGATGGGATAGCCACAATTACCAAAATGAGTAAAACAGAACGGTTCTGGCAGCAGCTCTTAAAACACATCACTCAAGACAGATTTGCTTTGAAACTAAAATCATATTTTTTTCAGAGGCTGCGGCATTGATCAAGCTTACTGGTTAAAGACTAAAAAAATAAAACTTTGAACTCTGGTATTTGAACCTGGGGGTAAAGGAAGAAGCAGGGGATTGCAAACCCTGATAAACATTTAATGTGAAGTATACTCCATGTTATTTTTTTTTCCTTAGAAAAGAATTGCAATTTTGAGTAAGCTTTTATTGCCCAGCCTACAGAGATTGCTTCTTTGCACCCATACAAATTCCCCACTAAAAGTGGTACCGTACAAACAATTTTTTCATGGTTATTTAGTACAAACCCTTAGTATTACTAAAGTAAATGAGACCCCAGGATTGGGGTCCATCTAAAAAAAATCGCAAACTCAAGCACATTTTAAACTGTCACCTAATTACATTGCTTTTCTAGTCTCCTCAAATTTTAGTCGACAAGTATTAGATCAGTTCTTACCTTTGGATCTCCTAGTCGTTCTAGGTATTTCTCAAATGAGCCTTCCACATACTTTCAACAATGAAGAAAACAAATACAAAAACTTAGGCAGCTGGAAAACAAAGCTAAACCTAAACACTTCATAACAGTTACTAGCTGTTGTATGGAAGGGGGCAGGGCAGGGGCCATAAACATCAAATTTAGGACTAGTCTGACAATTCCTATCAATTTTGGGTTCTGAGGGGCTCTGGCCTGACCAGGGGTAGGAATTTAGCTCTTCCCTGCCTTAAATCATGGGAATGATTTGCAGTACCAACATGGAAATACCAAGAGATTCTAAAAAAAAATTAGGAGCACAAGTCAGTGACCCATACTCCGTGGTTCATCTCCCTCCTAGTTTAGATTATGCACTTACATATGATTACTGGGGGAAAAAACCCAACCAAATAAAAGCCCAAAACACAACCCCCAAAACCCACACCAACACCATACACGCAGCTGCACCCACACAAACTGCCACAGACAAAACCAACCAAAAAACCCACCCCAAACCCCCATGATTTCATGCAATGATTTCACACATACTGGAATCTTCCACTATCTTTTGATATTTGTTTCTTACTCTAAAGGCCTACATATTTCCTACCTATTCATTTCTGCAATGGCTGCTCCGTAGAGATTATACACAAATAACCATCACCCTGTTACTTGGGTTTTAGTAACTCGGTGTGTGATTGCAACTCAAATAAGGTAAGGGAGCAGTCACCCTGCCACTTCTCTCACACGCAGCAAGCCAGGGAAGGCACAGCATGTTCGTGTGGGCGTGTTTAGTGCGAAACCACACACCCCCTGCCACAGCTCTGCCCAACTACACGTGCAAAGCTGCCCGACGCCGTTACTTACAGATTCAAACTTGGGTTGGTGCTGCCTCATAAAGGAGACACAAGCTTTCCTAACTTCCAGATGATGAATTTGAGATGAAAACAGCTGGAAGAAAAGCAAAGTTACAGAGGAACGAAGGAGAAAACGTCAGAGCTCATTTCACGCTCCGCGCTAGTCTTGTTTTCCCCGCAGTGTGTAAAGGCTGATAGCGGCACAGAGCCGAGGCGGGCGGAGGGTCACGGACACGTGAGGGCTGGCGGCAGTCGGAGCGCCCGGTACCCGGGGGCTGATCGCTCCCATCCTCACACACCTTCCCACCCATCCCCACCCACACCCCCCTCCATCCCCACCCGCGCCACCTCACTCTGGCCACCCGGGGGGGCTCCGGGAGCACCCCCAACCCAGCCCCGGTGGCGCTCGGCCTGAGGCGCCCCGGGCTCCCCCCAGCCCGGCCGGCTGCCCACTTGCTCCGAGACGGCTCTGAAGAGGCAAGAGGCGTCCTTGGCCGTCATCTTGCGGTAGAGTCCCAGACTTCCCAGGTACTCGTCCATGGCCACCTCGCTGAAGGACTTCTGCCCGAAGTACTTTTTCCAGCCCTTCTGCATCTTCCCGGCTGAGGCGGACGCGAGCTCGGCGCGCGGCGGCTCCGCGCGCGGCCGCCGCTAATGAGGGGCCGCTAATGAGGGGCCGCGCCCACCTGCGGGATGGCCCCGGCGGGACCCCCCGGCACCGGCCCCTGGTGCCGTTCCCTGCTCCCGGTGATCCCGCGGGAGCTGCCCCCGCCCGGGCCATTTTAAGCTATCCCGTTCTCCCGCCCCGCTCCAGCCCCCGGCGCGAGTGCGCAGCCCTCTCCTCCCCGACCTGCCTCGCGAAGAGAGCCCTTGCTGAGCCAACTCCTTCAGCTCCATCGCTCGACATCCTTGGCGACCTAACCAGTGGGAACATCGGTCCAATGGGTTATGCAGAATTCCCTGTGACACCCCTCCACGCTCCCGGGCCGGAGACAAGTTGCTGGCAGTAAATTTGAAATAACAGCTCTATAAATATCGTTAAGGACGCGAAAATCTTAGTTGTTCCTAAGAAAGTACTTGGGGTAAACTTCGGGGATCGGCAAAAATGACACCTGTGCAGCCTGATTATTCCACTTGATTAGGAGAATGCCTCTATGTACATTCAACTTCCTAATAAAAATTCCACTTAAACATCAGGGTTTTTTTTGTTGTTTTAAACAACAGCAGTAAAAAATCCCAAACAAATAAGGTACTTGCAGGAAGGGCAATTAGCACTAGTTAGCACTGCAATTCCAGACCTTTACAAACCTAAGAGCCTGCATGAACATTTGTAAACCCTTTGGTTTTCAAAACATTTACCTAAACAAATCAACATAGTTGACCATTTCAATGGTTTAAATGGGAAGCTCGAATCAGCCTCAGATTCATAAAATGGTATGGGTTGGAAGGGACCTTAAAGATCATCTTATTCCACCCCCTGCCATGGGCAGGGGCACCTTCCACTAGCCCAGGTTGCTCCAAGCCCTGTCCAACCTGCCTTTGAACACTTCCAGGGATGGGGCAGCCACAGCTTCTCTGGGCAACCTGTGCCAGGGCCTCCCCATCCTCACAGGGAACAATTTCTTCCCAATATTTAATCTAAATAGGAAATATTGGGCCCAAACTAAGTCACTATGGGGATAACACCGTGTAAATGGAGTGATTGTATTGCTAAGCCCATTCCTCTCCTGTGTTTTACTTAGGCAGTGAATCACCCGAACCCAGGTCAGCTGGTGGGCAGTTCAGCAGCAGCTTTGCAGTACTTTTCTCACCCAGATTCACCACATGCCCCTTTCTCTTTTAAGAGGCTTAAATCTCTCCCTTTTGACTTCTCTCTACAGTATTTCTGTAAGCACATGAAGAAGGCATCTGCTTATTTGCAGAACGGCACAGGAACATCAACAAAACCAACTTAATTCCACCTGTCTTTGGCATATATGCCCCTTAAGAAGTAGTTTAGCTTGTCCTCATCACTGGAATTACCATCCCAGTGGAGATCTTGTGATGTAAATATGTCAGTCAGTGAAACCAGACAGTTCATACTCTTCCTCTCCTGGTTGGCTCTGTGCTCTTTTAAGCATAAAGCTGGACGACTCTGGCACTAAATTAGAAACCATCTAATGCCAGTTAATATTAACAGACATCTTCTTTGAGGGTTTGCCCAAGCTGGTGGATCTTAAGTATGGGAAGACCTCACTACGAGAGCAGAAAAGTGTTTTTTTTTTTTTCTCACATTTTTATTCTTCTGTATTGTTTATTGAAACCCAACAACTTTATCCAAGAACAAAGCAAACTTTTCTGGCTGTCCAGGCGGAAAAGGTTTCAAAGTTGACAAGTCCATCAACTGCAGCGTCTCCACAAGAGTGCTGTAAAAACAGATCAAACCCAGAGATTAAAAAAAAGAAATCCACCCCAAAGGGAATTGTTTTTATACGCACAATTTTCTTTCTAGTTTTACGTACGTAATCCTTTAGCATGGAAACCAAAATGAGGACATGAAAGGAAGAGACCTCACAGAGCAGCAGGCCCCAACCAGAACTGGCTCTTAAGGCAGCACTGCTGAGAACATACTTCAGCTTTCACAGACCACCTCAGCTCCTTAACTTTTTAAGCTTCTGTGGTTGCAATGCTGGGAGACTGAACAACATCCAAGGATCTTCTCCATGAACCACACCAGGAAATTCATCCTATCTGAACACATGGCACAGTTCTCCACCAATCCCAGAGCCATAAAGAACTGCTACATCAATCTGTTACTTGCTATTATCAAGCTGCAGACAAGGCTCAAATGCTTGGCACTGCCCAACAAAAAGAAATAAAATTTCCTTCCTGTGTCCATAGCTGACAGAAGCACCAAGATAACAAGTTTCTTAAAACTTGCTCAATATAAATGAATGCCACGCCTAGTCTGTTAAGAAAGCTCTTCTGAAACATATGAAATCCTATTTGCAGGGCAAAGGAACAAGACGCAGACTAAAAATTGGGAGTTGTATTTCCTCTGCCTTCAATTTACAGGTCATCTGTTATTTCTAGAGTGCAGTCTATCATAAGAGAAAACAGTAAGGTACAGTCCAAAAGGAGAGGAAATGGAACAAACAGGAGTCAGGATGAATACGAACTATCAAAAGGAGCTGAGTTTTTTGATGGGAGAGGGGATTTTTTTTTTTCTGTGTTGTTTGCTCGGTGGTTTGTTTTGGGAATTTTTTTTGTGTGTGTTTTTTGTTTGGTTGTTTTATTTTTTCCCCTGAAATGACCAGCAGTAGATCTGTGAAACTCCTTGTCAGAGAATATATCGGATTCTGAAACTTTGGCTAAAAGGGCAGCCTGAATAAGTAATTGAAAGACAGAGGTATTGAAGTTCTAACCAGACAGCATCTGATTTAGGAATCCCCCTGAATCAAAGTATATAAGAGCATTATGAAGAAAGTAATACAACCACATGTTCTTGCCCTGTTTCTGCTTTTGGCTGGGCATCTGTATATGGCCACTGCCAAGAGGAGACTGAGCTATGTAGACTCCTGATCTGTATCACTACAGCCATTCTTATGTTTTGTTCTAAATACTCCAGATACTTCTAATCTTGTTATGTCAGTGCAGCTGCACAGTCAACTTCAGCTCCTGCCCTTTACAAGGAAAGTGCATGTAGCAAAATGATGGAGTCCTGAGTCTGCAGGGAGGAACTGATTCCATATGGTTTGTGGTCTAGGCTGTATTATTTCTAGACTTCAAAAAAGAATCCTACAAATAGTGAGAAAGAGCAGAGAAAGACAGTAGTTTTTAGGTGCCTCTAGGATCCTACATGATTGTTCCAAATTCAACCACTTCTATTTAGTTTAAATTTTTCCTCTTTTAATCTGAATACATGTGCCCTCAAAGGAAAAAGAAATAATTAAAGGGGCCACGGTCAAAAGGCTTGGTAAGTCTGGTCAATTAGCACGTAATGTTAATCTGTCCACTCTGGAAAATCTAACGTGCAAACAAATGGAGGTTACAAAGAAGGATGTACATTTCTTTGGTACATTCTGAATTCTGCAGTAACACAGTCAGTGTGCTGAGCACTTGCCCAGCCAGGACAGCCACAGCAGCTGCATACCTGCAGTTACAGCAGAGGACATACCCATCTCTGTGGAGCTGTTTGGCCAGTTCAAGCTGATGGTTGTTCATCAGCTTGTCGTTTATTACTACTATTAGTGGTTTTCCTTTTTCTAGAGTCTCCAGACAGCTACCTGCACCTACAACAGAAACAGAAAACACGGTGAGAGATGAAATATCCTACTTGCTCCTGAATCAGGGGAGATTCTTGGAGGTGGACATTTAACCACCCACCTCTAACTGCAGACCTCAACATTAACAATCAGCCCACCCCCGAGCTGGAAGGTCACAGACTGCATCGCACGGACCCCCACTCTCGATCCAGGAGCACAGGCCCGGCAAGCAGAGGGGGCTGTACCTGCGTGGCTGATGACCAGGTCGGCGCTCCGCAGGTCCTCCGCCAGCGAGTCCTTGAAGCGGAACGCTTCCACCTCCAGGGCCGCGCTGCCGCGGGGCAGCGGCAGCTGCAGCGCCCCCCGGCCCACCTGCAGCACCACCTTCTGGTACCCGCGGCTGTGCAGCACCTGCGGCCGAACCGGGAGGGATGAGGGGACGGATCACGGGGGGGAGGGAGATGACAGGGGAGAGCAGGGGGCGGGGAGGGATGACGGGGAGCGATAATGGGGACAGATGAGGGGCGGGATGGATGGAGGGGGTGTGCCCAACTCGGGCACCGGGGCCTGCCCCCTCCCCTTCCCCCAGCTCGTCACGCCTCTCCCCGCGGACACCCCCGAACGCTCCCGCCCTCAGACACCCCCAGCAGCCCGTGCCGGCTCTGGGGCGGGCGGGGCAGCTCCCACCGCGCAGGCGCCAGGCGGGGGAGGCGCGGGCCGGGGCCGCTCTTTCGGCCGCCTCACCTGCAGCGCCGGCGGGGAGCGGGCGGTCGCGATCAGCTCGTCGAAGCTGGTGGTGCCCACGGTGACGAACACAGACCTCATGGCCACCGACCGCCGGCTCCGCGCTGCCCGCGGGGCCACCAGAGGGCGCCGCGCGCCCGGCTCGGCGCTCCCCGAAATGGCGGCCGCGCTGAGGGAGCTGGGCGGGCTCGGCCCTGAGGGGGCGGGGGCAGCTGCTCCTCACGGCCCTTTCTCCCTTCGCTTCGTCCCGCCCCCGCCGCCCGGGCGAGCGGAGAGCGGGCAGGTGTCATGGGGCCGTGGGATTTACCGCCACGGTGCCAGACCAGCAGGGACGGCGCCCGCTCTAACGAGCCCACGCTCCGACAGCGTTTAGCGGGGTAGCCACAAGCGTCTCAGGTTTTCAGACTTTCAAGGAGGAGAGGTCAGTGACTCAGACTTGGAAGAGGGATTCAGAAAGTTTTGCGCTCCAGGTGTTACTTCAGCACTCGGGGCACAGGTCGGTAATGGACAGCTTGCTGGGTGTGTTCAGAAGTGCCGTTCCCAGGGCAGGGCCACATCCACCCTCCCTGTACAGGCTGACCTGGGGTAGGTGTGGGGTTACCCAGGCTGGCCCACGCCTCCCACGACACTTCTGAGAGTAACACTTCAGTTCCCCTTAAAAAACTGAACATTAAATGTGTTAACACCGTCTTGCCCACCGAAGGCTAAGACTTGGCCCCTTAGCAGTTGCGCAAGCTAGCGGTTTTGTCTCTTTAATTTCAAGTGTAACACGATGGACAATACTGTCACCGAAAACCGTCGGGAAGAAATTAAACCCTCCAACACTACCTTTTAAGTGTTAATGAGCCAGACATTGCTTTATTCTGGTCAGAGATAGGTAATGAATCATTCCAGCTAGCTGTACCCTTCCAAGACTCTTCATGTATTTATATGGTTTAGCAAACAAATTCACATTAATTGGTTCTAAGTTACACAGTTCTCTTCATTTAATTAGTACATAAAGTACTAATTTGGCCCACATTATTTGATCCTCTTACCATTCTTCTGGTTACTCCAACATGTCTTTGAAGGGCCATAAATTTAAGATCCCAGATGTTCAATCCTCAGCTCTCTCAAGCTTTGTTTACTTATCAGAGCTAGTCCAAAGAAACTCAAAACTTTGGTGATTTAAAGATCAAATTGACAAGAGTTGGTAAGTAAAAAAAATCTAATTAACTGCTACAGTTAATTAAAATTTTAGGAAAGTTAAATAATTTCCAACAATACTACCAAAAAAAAAAGAAAGTTAGACATTTAAATCTATTCCCTGAATGAAATGTAACAGATGAGGTCATGAGTGTTCTAAGAAGATGCAGAAAAGATTCAGCTGTCTTAAGGATACCTCTGATTGCCATGTAATTGGCATATTCACATTGCACATTAGCCCCCTCTTGCTTTCATTTAGCATAATGAGCCACACTGAAATGTAGTTATGTTTTGATTAAAGCAAACAGTGCTGAGAGCAGAAACGGTGGGGGGAGGGTGGCACTTTGTTCTGGGAAAAAGTGCTGTAGAGCAATAAAGTATTGACAGTCCTGAGTGCACAGGGCCTTGGCAGCCCTGCCCACCCTCACCCAACTCTTACTGCTGCCCCTCAGGACGAGGAATCCGGAGCTGAGGGTGAGCACAACACAAGACAAGCAAAGACCTCACCAATAGGGCACAGTCTGACTGCGCCACAGAAGGGCAAGCAGAGCACTGGCAGCAAGGGGTCCAGTGGCCATCAGGCAAAAACAAGGTTAACAAGCTCAATCCAGGAAACCCAAACAGCAATTCAGGAGCAGAATTAGCAGCAAAGTCACCTACGACTCATCTCTGTCATCCCAGCATGAGAAAGACATGGACCTGGTTAGGTGGGTCCAAAGGAAGGCAACAAAGATGGTCAGGGGCTGGAGCACCTCTCCTGGGAAGACAGGGCAGGAGAGCTGGGGTTGTACAGCCTGGAGAAGAGAGGGCTCTAGGGAGATCTTAGAACTGCTTCCAGTGCCTAATCAGGCTCCAAGAGAGCTGGAGAGGGACTTTGGACAAGGGCCTGGAGTGACAGGACAAGGGGGAATCACTTTAAACTGAAAAAGGGCAGATTTAGATTAGATATTGGGAAGAAATTCTTCCCTCTGAGGGTGGTGAAGCCCTGACACAGGTTGCCCAGAGAAGCTGTGGCTGCCCCATCCCTGGAAGTGTCCAAGACCAGGTTGGATGGGGCTTGGAGCAACCTGAGATAGTGGAAGGTGTCTCTGCCTATGGCAAGGGGTTGGAACAAGATGATCTTTAAGGTCCCTTCCAACCAAAACCATTCTATGTTTCTACTTAGAGCCCAAGCTTAAATGAAGTCACTGTCAGAGTGAGTGGAAGCCCAGCTGAGGCTGGTCTGGGCAATTAAGAGCTATTAGTGCAGTTAGGGTCCCAACAGCTGATGGACAAGAAGATAGACTTTGGGATGAAAGGAAGATGCTAAATTTTTCAAGCGTGTTAGAGATGAGGTTCAGCACATGTGTAAATCTTTGTGAGAAAAGTTGAGGGCAGAATAAATGAATGTTACGGGTTTTAGTTTGGTTTTTTTCCATATGTCACTGAAAGTCAGCATCCTCTGCAGCATGCACTCCCAGCGCCATGCTGTATATGGGCTAGAAGTAAAAATATTCACAAGTAACACTGCAGTGACTTGGAATTTTCACTGGAGGGTACATTCCACTTGCACGTTGAATTAGGCTTGTTGGGATGATTTTAAGCTGAAGAGAAAAGGGAAAACCATCCATTATAGGACTCAATTTCATGCTAATACCCACTGTTGTGTAGGGAATAAGTAGAATTTTGTCCATGAATGCTTATGCTCTGGTCCATGAGAATTACAGATCATTCTCAGGATGAGGTACTTGGAGCTGATCCCGTACAGTTTTAAGGCAGATAGAGATCATGTAATCCAGGTTTGCTGCTATGCCTTGTTTCATTGCTCCCCCTGCCCTGTGTTCCTCCAGGTACTCGTACAACTGCACAGTGATCCAGTTCAGAGAACTGATCTGACAGTGGTCTGTTTGCAGATGGATCAGTTCCCTGAGTTGCACAAGCAGCACAGCTAACCCAGGGGAGGAAGCAGGGTTGGGGCACCTTGGATTTAGACTGGTTTAAATGCTTGAACCCCTTCATAACCATTGGTAGCTGCAACCATTTTCTCTGAGCCGTGAGGCTCAGGCTGAGTCCCCACTGCCTTTGGGACAAACGTCGTGGGAACTGGGCCCTGCTTGGGCTGGACAGTCTCTCTTTGCAGTGCCAATTGTTTCTCTCCAAGCTATGCGTGTGGGATATTATCAGGGATGTTCCAGAAATATGGACTCAATCTGACATCATTAGTCCAGGACCCTGGGGAGAGGCTAGGAAAGGGCTGAAAGAGAAGATATGTTCTTGTGAGAGCTTGCTCCCATCTGTGCTTTATATGGCACAATTTATATTCTGTTATTTCCTTCCTGTGGCAACATCTGGGCAAGAAAGCAAAGGTGGCTGGAGTGCAAGCCAGTTTTTGTCAAGAGAGAAATTATTTATCCCTCCCCTCTTCTCCTTAGCCATTATTTGAAATGTTTCTGGATGGCTCAGTTTTGAGCACTGTTGCTTTATATTCAGCTCAGCTTGCCACAGTTTGCCCTGAAAGCTCTATAATTACATTATTAAGGAGTAGGAAAATGTGTGAAAATAAACTAGTTGGTTCACATCTTGGTTTCTGAAAACTACATGCTGCCTTCAGTTTGCTCTTGAAGTTTTAAAGACTAACAACTGTCACAATAAAACTCTGGCACCACTGAAATGCATGGGCTGCAGACTGTATAAAAAAATTAATCTTAAAAATATATACCAACAGGAAGACAGGCAGATCTCTAAGCCTACAAAGTCTGATTTTCTTGGAAGGAAAAAAAAAACCAGTGACTGGCTAGTTATTGTCTTTCCTTTGTATCCCTTAAATTTTGTGCACAGATTCTCCATTTGGCTTGTGATATAATGGTGCAGTGGATGACATGAGGCTCAGGAGAGCAACTAGATTTCTTGACACTAAATTTACATTATACTTTGGTACTTGTAATATGTTGATGAATGTGCAAAACAAAGTAAGTTAGTCTTTCTGATTGGCTTTATATAAATTTGAACTGAAAAAAATGTTTGCTTCCTTTTTCTCTCTCATTTAGATGTAGTGTGGCACCTATGAGGGTTGATATTTCTGTTACTGTAGGGAGCTGTGAAAATCAGATGGAGGATATTTTGGGGAATTACTCCCTCATGTTACGATGATTCAGAGATGCTTGAAGTAAAAATATTTACTGGGTAAATAACAGAGAAGCATTCATCAGGCAAATGTAAATATCTTTGAAATATCTCATTGCAACATTTCTTCATCCTTCGAATTGTCTCTTTGTGGGTTTGTTATCTGGCAGTTGGACTGTCAGGTAGCTGACAGATACAAAGGCTCAGACTGACTGGAGACAGCGAAGGGTATGTTGGTTCACCTCCTCCTCAGGACTGACTGGCAGAATACAGGTGCTGAAGCAGCATGGAGGAACTGCTGAATAAATATTACATGTTTGAAGTGGAAGGGGAGGCTGTGGCTAGAATGAGTGTCCATGATCTTATGGATTTTTCTGAATTTTGCCATAATTGATGGTGTGCCTTGAAGCCCCTGGTTCTGGAATTATGTAATCATGACTTTTAAGGCCTTATGCTTCTGAAGAGGAGACGGAGAAGATAACTCACTGACTCTTAAGGCCCTGAAGACAAACTCATAAATAATATCTGTTATATATCTATAACTATGTATCTGTTTGTTACTCCTGTTTTGCTCTGTGTTTAAACAACGTTAATGATTCATTGAGACCTGGCTTCCAGAAGCTCAGAGCTTACTCATTTCTGAAAGACCATTTATGCTGGTCTTTGTCCTGCCTGTGAAGCAGGAGGTCACCCCTACAGTGGGATATAGAACCTGTGCTGTTTCAATCCTTGTTACGAGGACTGTGACTCAGTCCTTGAGCTGGCTCCTTACTGATGCTTGATGCCTCTGCTGGGTTTCTGCCAAGGGTAAAATGCTTGCATAAAAAAATCAGAAAATGGGCTTCATATCATTTCTTAAAGCTGGTAATTTCCAGTAGTGTTTG